TCTGGTTAAGACGCGATAAATCGATCCCGGATCGATCCCGGAAGTGCTCACAGTCGGCGCCGGTACTCCAGCTCGCCGAGAGGAGTACGCGGCGTCGACGGGGGGAGACTTCCGGCCGCATCTGGACCGCGGTAAGTCCGGACTAAGGTACTTCGAATTCAGCTACGTTATTAAACAGCAGCAGAGGGAGAGTCAAGGCGTTCTTGTAATTTCACGCTGTTTCTGTTGTTGGCACTATTGGAAAAACAAGATGAGTGGATCCTCTGTGGGAGTCTCGTGCTGGTTAGCTGTTACTGGATGGGAATGTAGTGATTGCACATAATCCTACAAAAGGGTTCCGAGTACCAGCTCTCTGAAAAGCCTGCTACTGTAGCTGTTTGGATTGCTCATGAAGCAAATGTATGCATTCATCCTCTTGCCTTACCTGGGCAGCGTTCCTCAAGCACAGAGCAGTTGTTCCAGCATGTGTACGGTGGCTGGGCTGGAGATATTGGCATCTTGGTCCCTTCGTCAAAGGGAATAGCAGGTCAACTCCTTCTTGTCTCTCCTGCACTGCTCTCTTCCTTAGACCTGCTCTATCCTTCTTTTCTTGTTGCTGAGTTATGAAACATTACAGGCTTATGACATCTGAGTTCTCTTCCTTCTCTGATATAAAACTCTGAGAATATCCTTGTTTAGTGGGACTAGGATAAGATCCCGTTAGAGGTATGATTAGTTTCCCACCACCGTCTCATTTTGTTATCCCCTCTTCCTCGGTTTACTATAATCTTACAGGGCAAATGCTTCAACAGTAGAAGAAAAACTGCAGTCAAATAAATCATTGATTTGTAGTTTTGGCTGTCATGCATATCCACAGATGAAAGAAATTGAAATCACTTCCAAAATGGATTAGAACCATACAAATAGTTTGCTATTGGTGTATACAGACAGACAGCTGAGCATTGTATTAAATAAGTAGCTAATAAAGAAGGAAAATAGACTGGCCCATGACTTACTCCTGTGTCACTTCCCATTAAGTAGGTGGCTTTGTTTTGTGTTCAGAGCTCTGAACCAGTTTCCTAACTAGTTACCAAGTAGGCATTGTGAAAAGAAGTTGAGTGAAAACTGTTTATCGCCAATAACAAATGGCAGCTTGGTAACAAACACCTCACTTAGTTCATGAAAGCACATAAATGTTTTGCCTTTTCAAAAACCCATAATGGTTTTAACAGTAAACTGATGCTAGAAAGTCCATCTGTGTTTAAAAAATGACTCCACTTTATGATATTTGGAGTTTTGTATATAAATGATAACAAAATGTAGCTAAGAAAACCCAAATAAGCAATTTATCTCTCCCATGTACTTGAAATATCACTAAGATTCCCTTTGAAGCCAGATGGAAGCAGTGCAAAATAAGCACCCAGTCATGAGGTGAATTAGTCAGAATAACCTTGAACACTGATTCAATTTAGCCTTTGCAGTGTTGAAAGCTGGGCTTTAAGACCTAAATTGGGGCTGTGTCTACACTAGAGCTTATGTTGACATAACTTCTGTCGCTAAAGAGTGTGACTAAACCACCCCCTTGAGTTATGCCAACACAAGTGCCGGTGTGCACAGCGCTGTGTTGGCAGGAGAAGCTCTCCCGCCGACATTGTGTCTGCCGCGCTCAGGGGTGGGACAGGGAGCTCGCTTCTGCTGGGGTAGGGCGTCTGTGCCAGATATGCTGCCCGGTGCTGCCGTATCGGTGCCACTACAGCACTGCACTTGTAGACAAGCCTTTAATCAAGTGAGATGTGTGAAAGGTAGCAAATGTGTAAACTGACAGAATATCTTGACGGAAAAATCAGCCAGTGTGTCCTTTTTCTCAAGCTGTGGTGTGTATAACAAAGCCAACGGAGAACCTCCCCGGTTTGGACTTCTTTTCGGTCTCAGTATCTCTTTAGATATGGAGTCCAAATGCATTCCCTTCACTTCTGTCTCCTAAAGGGGCTACTGTTACTTCTGCAAGTGGAAAGAGTCCTAGTGGAAGGTGTCAAGACTCAGATATTGTCTTTTCTCCCTGTCGGAGGTAAACTTGACCCATGAATGATTTGCTAGGTGAAGACAGAAAAATTTGAACAAAGCCAGTTAAAACTTAGTGCAGTGGATTGATGGTTGAGAGTTTGTGTGGCATACCCTCCCCTAGTGAAATCAGACTTCCCAGGTGGAGCATGGTGGTGTAAGCAGTGCTGCCTGAAGCAACGATGGACTAAAGGGAGGCTGTGAGCTCCAAAAGCTGCCATTTCCCTGCCCTGTTTGTGGTCGGGCTTGGAGACGGCGCAAGGTTAGCATAATACCCAAAGAGGCCAGCAGAGATCGGAGAGCAAAGCAGTGGGGGACCTGCTATTACTGAGAATTGGGGAAGTGAACAGTGGGAGCAGCTGTGAACGTGTGTGCTTCACAAAGTAGGGGAGCAGAGCAATGAAGAAAAAAGGGTGAAGAAAGAAAAACAAAGTAGAACCTGCAAATAAGACACTAAAGAAAATGAGAAAAACAGATAAAAAGCATGGGATGCGGGAACTACTCCCGAGCACATATAAGGCAACTTAAATGGGTGTCCAGGCATGGAGCCCTCCAAAAAAGGAGTGAGGATTAGGGATTGGCTAGCATCCTGAGAGAGAGTTATTGTGTTAGGCCATTAATTACAGTAGTAAAGAGTAAAAACGTTTTCATAAGAAGATACACACATTTGTAGGTGGTGAAATCATTTTAAGGTTCACTTCAGTGAACGTCATTAGCCACTTCACTTTTTGGGTACTTTCTTTGGGGAGCTCTGTCCCACAGACTGCAACACCTTAGCTCTTTTAATTTTGGGAGACGTTCTTTTTGTGTCGAGGCCATAATTGAACCACCAAAAAAAACCTGACCAGAATGGATGGCATGTCAAGGATGCTTTTTCTTTGACCTCTGTAGTATGGCTGCAGGCCCACCCATATTTTTGCCATAGGGGAGGAATCTGCTAACACAAGGGGCGATTGTAGAGGGCTAATGAATCAGCCCTAATCCATCTCTCTGAATCTTAGCAGAAGTCCATTCCAACTTTCCAATACACTTATGATATTCTTAATGCTGCTGATTAGGAATTGAAATATAATCGAATACACTCACTGTATTTAGAGACACTTCTAATATTAACTGAAATTTTTCTATTTATAGTTGTTAAAATAAAGCTAAATAATCAGTTTACCTGGTAGAGACATTAATGAAATGTATAATTTACTTTTCTTAATCTCATAGGTGGGTTTGCTTTTGTATATGAAGCTCAAGATCTTGGAAGTGGCAAAGATTACGCTTTAAAGGTAATGTGTGTTTAAATCACTTTAAAGATTGAAATGTCTCTTGACTCAGTGCATTAGCATGATGGTCACTGTAGTACATGTGTACATACAAAAGTCAGAGCTGAAGTATTTTCTCCATTGCTTACTGTACCAGTCCAGATGATTCACATACGCACTTTCCTCTACTGTGTAAACGGACACAGAAAATACTTAACTTTGTCAAAACCAACATGTATAAGGTGATGGGTGATAACTAGGCATGTCAGAGGGGGAGTAACTAACTTGTTTGTATTGGTGTATAAAGATGTATCTCAGAGGATGTATCTTTGTCTGGCCTAGGGAAGAACAGAAAGTCCCACCATTCACTGAGCTGGTCCACTGATATGGGCATACGTATATTGGTGGTCCGATAGAGTCTGCGGGATACTAGTACTGTACATGAATATAAGCTGAAATCATGACTGAAGTGTGTTTACCAGACATGTCTGGGGAGTGGGTAAACCAATTTCTCAAAGACAAACAAGCAAACCAAGACAAACAAAGACGTCTAGCCAGGTGTCCTCAAAGATGATGGGCCATCACCTACCAAGTGGCCATTCTTTGGCAAGGAAGGGGGGCAGGAATAAACAGATCTTCATCCGAGGGCAGGTCTACCCTAGAAGCGCCACATCAGCGCAGCTGCAGCACGTCTGGTGAAGACGCTCTATGCTGACGGGAGAGCGCTCTTCCGTCGGCATAATTACTCAGCTTCCGCCTCTTGCAGAGGTGATCTCAGCAGGTGAGCATCTCCCTCCGACATAGTGCCGGTCTGGACAGTGCTTAGGTCGTGGTAACTTGCATCGCTCAGGGGGGTTTCTTTTTCACACCCCTGAGTGACGTAAGTTAGATTGACTTAAGGGCTGGTCTACACTACTGCTTAGCAGACAACAGCCTGAAACCTCTTTCACCATGAGACTACATGGCTCCAACCTCTCAGCAGGAATGAACTTTTCCTAGGGGTAATCCTCAGGAAAATGCATTTCAGAAGGGGGAACTGGACCATCAAGTGAGTGGCAAGAACACCCAAGTTATCTCTCCCAGTCCATCTCTCTTTTTCACCTAAGACAAGAGAGAGAGGCACTGTTGTCAGAAAACCACAACCACTCTGTAGGTGCCAAAAGTTCCAGCTACCCAAATCTCCAGTCTCTCTCCTCCCTCTGCCACCAGAGTGGAATTACATTTATTAATGCATAAATCAGTAGCAAATTGGAAGTGTGGGGGACACTATATTTAATATCCACATCAATAAAACCAGGAAGAATGGTAGTGATGGTCATATTTAATTCCATTAAAAATTCCCTTGAATCTGCTGCACAAGTTTCTTTGCTGTAGCAAAACATCCCAGAAGTCCAGAAGACTGCTGTAGAACTAACTTCCAGAACTAACTGCTATGTGCAGTAGTGCAAGCATGATTCTAGAGGCTGCGCTCCCAGAGAGAGTGGATATAGATCAGTGGTTCTCAACCAGGGGTACGCAGAGGTCTTTCAGGGGGTACATCAACTCGTCTAGATCAGTAGTTCTCAACCTATGGGGTCGTGAGCCCCAGAGGGGCCACAGGATGGATTTAGAGGGGGTCGCAAGTGCAGGGTCGGCGTTAGAAGGTGGCAAGCAGTGTAATTGGCTGCGGGAACCCGTGAAGCTAAGTTACATGGTGGGGCTTGAGCATCAGTCTCCTGAAAGGAGTCTGGAAAGGTTGAAAACCACTGATGTAGATGAACAGAAGGACAGGTGACTAGAAACCTGGTTATTGTTGCGGTGACATGTCCAAGCGGGATCAAGCCAGCTTTGACTCTTGCTCCCTTATCTTGAGAGTTGACGGTTTTGTTAGCTCTGATTTTTCCCATGTCTGTGTTTTTATAAGTTTATAATACTTCAAAATGGTATCCCCTTTTTCAATATTCTTTTTTCTGATACAGAGGTTATTGTCTAATGAAGAGGAGAAGAACAGAGCTATCATTCAAGAAGTTTGTTTTATGGTATCCTTTTTAGGTCAAAATTCAATATTTAGAATAAAGAAATGAACATCCTGAAGACTTAGAAAGCTTCTGGGCTTCACAATCCATATGGACACTGAAAGTATTTCTAAAGTATTTCTCCAGTGAAGAAAATCTTTGAAACCTGGGCTTGGTACAGACCAACGAGTTACAGGATAAAAGGTTTTCAGTCACATCAGTCCCTTGAGTTATTCAGCTCCTTTTTTTTGTCGTCTATTCAAATGTTTAGCTAACATTTTAGTGTCATCCATAAAATTGAACTCTGGAAAACTGATGCCAAAGTAACTGTACATCATAAAGAGTTGTGGGTATCAAACTTCCTTTTAAATAAATGATTGCACCTGCTATTTACTCCTTCCTTGAGTGACCAATCATAGGCTAGAGGTCACTAATTGCTAAGCCATAATTTGTGAAGTCAAAGGAGGTTTCCAAAATACTAAAGTAAACAGCTGTAATGTTATGCGTGGAATGTGAGATAATGGTTTGGTCTGTCATAATTTCGGAGGGGAAATTCAGAAAATTTGTCATTTCCCAGTTGGATAAAGATTTGTTTAAACTTTCTACTCCTCTTGTTGAGTTAACAACTCTTCTTCTTTTTCCCTACTGTTGTATGGATATTGGTCTCAAAGGCCTGAAGAGTTACAGGTTTTATAAACTCACTCCCTGTCCAATATTAAACAGTGATAGATAGGTTTGCGGTTATTTTTAAATAGAGCCCTTGGTTTTACTTGATTATTTGGGAAACACCTCAAAGCATTCATTTAATTCATTTGAAAGTTTATTGGTTAAACACAAGAAAGAACAAGAAATTAGAAGTAGTGTTTATTTTGAAACTGTGGTTGAGTGATTATGCAGAACAGACTTAGTTAGACCTTATCAAAGTCTCTCTCTTTTTGGTGTCAAACTATCAGCCTCTTATTTTCAGAACAGCCTTTCTTTGATGAAAAGGCAAAGGTTAATTTTACTCTGTCCTGATGTGAAGGGCATCTACTTATCCTGTTCTTAACAAACAGGCAGACTAAAGGTGGAGAAGAGATGGGATAGAAAAGATGGGTAAAATATGGCTTTTGTTGATGTTTTTGGAACACTGCATCGCTGGTTAGTTACGAGTGGATGCTTTGGCTGGCTAGTCGATCAAGACGCCTGCTGCTTTGACCCTGGTTAGTTATGATCTGGTCAGGGCTGTCATCTGGTTGGATCCTTTCTCCTTAGACAAGGCAGGCTTGGATAACTGCAGAACTGTTAATTTCAGGGTTCGATGAAAAGTCGTGAGTGAGAGAGGCTAGGAAGAAAGAAACCATGGGGCAGAAGATAACACAAGAGAAGGGAATATAATACAGGATCTTACATGCCTTTGTGGTGCTGGTAATTAGCTCCCCCCCTCCCCCCCGGGCGAGCTGAGGACTGGTTGTCATGATGATGCGATGACTTTCAGCACTCACAGGTGAAAACCAAGTTCCTTAAACAAGAGCGACGCCAGCCGGCCTTCCCTTCAGGAATAAAGTCCCTTAGAGGAGTTGCAGTGCTGTCAGGTCGGAGCATGCAAGGTGGGACCGGAGATAAGAGGGAGAGCTGAATTGAACTGATCTTTGCCCTATCTCGCACATGTCTCTTTTTAAGAAAGCCCAAAAGGGGAAAAAGTGGGCAGCATAGTTCATCCCCCTCATTATTTTGTCCACTAATTAGGCCTAATATCTGGCACACCAATTTTGATCTGTTATCTTCTGGTTCCACTTTTTTAAAAACCAGCATAATTTCAACAGTCCTTGGATTAGATCAGCATGGCCTTTCTGGTTTAGACTAATCCAGTTTCTTTGTCTGGTTCTCGTGCACTTGTTACAACAGTCAACTTTGTAAGCAACTTTGACCAGTTTTTCATGGTTATTGTAACATTTTATGAACTTTTGCATACTTTTTACATTTGAGTTCACAAGAGGGGCACGCTTTTTAAGCCCGAGAGTCACAACATTACTCTCAACCCTTGGCCAATACCCTTTTTTAAGCAGCTTGGTTTCATGCATTCATGGCTCAATACACCGGTGGACCCCAATTTTAGACCAGGGTCCCACTGTTCTAGTTTCGATATAAACACATAACCAGATACATTGTAAGCTCCTCAGCCAGTGACTAAGGTCACTTAGGTTCATTTCTCTCTCTTCCTCCCTCCACCAGAATGAGGAGCCTTGATTCTCTTTTTAATTGAAAGTGAAATTTTAAAAAGCCTTTATATTATAAAAGTTTTTGATTTTCCTTTTTTATAATCTTGCTTATTATAATGAAGCTTCTTGGCTCTGATTTTTGAGAGACCTTTTTCTACTTAGCTGAAGGAAAACCATACCAGAAAGGGCACTCCAGGCTAATGTATAGACCTGTGTGGAGGGCACAGTGGCCTGCCTTGGTCACACAGCCAGAATGTCAGCAGATATCCATGATTAAGTCTAGTCGCTGGAGAAGTCTTTTACAAATATCTCTATTGCTGCATTGCACTCATTGTCAAGAGAGACCAAGCTGTATCTAGATCAGCACCTTGCATCTTCCAGAGCCTTATTAACAGGTATTGAGTTTTTTACTCTTGTTGACTTTGCTTGTAGTTCTCATTCTGTTCAAATGAGATACCGGTTAGGTTCTTCTGTTGTGTATGTTAAACACATCCAATTAGACGTGTATGTGAGCTGATTGTGCTTGATAGTATGAAGAAAATCTCTGACATGCTTAGTTTTTCCTTGAACAAATCCCCAGAAAAAGCTTTCAGGTCATCCTAATATTGTCCAGTTCTGCTCTGCTGCATCAATAGGAAAAGAAGAATCGGATACTGGGCAGGGCGAGTTTCTTCTGCTCACCGAGCTTTGTAAAGGTAAAACCTATTTTCGTTTGTGCGTGGTGTGGCTTGTTTTAGGAATGGAGTGAATTCTTCCAAATGAATACATAGATCTTGAACTGGAAAAGTGCAGTTTTACTACATGGAGAACAGTTAAAACTTCTCTAGCAAGACAGCAATTTACCTGCTATTAACTGACCTGTTTTTCATATTTATGGGCCATTCTGAAAAGGAGCAAGGTGATTAGTTTTTACCGTCCCCTTCATAATCTACCATACTTCTCAAATTCCCTCTAACTCTTCTCCTTTCAAGGTTAAGCAAGTCAATGTTTGCAATCTCTAATTGTCTGTAAATCCCACCACACCTTTAACTACCATGGGTTAGACTAATTACTTGAAGCATTCAGACTCCCATTAGTTGCTTGTTTAGGAGCAGTACTTCCTGGCTAAGGGTGTTGTCCAGTTTTACTCAGCTGGAAGGGTGGTTTCTGACTCACGCCCTGGCAGGAGTAGAGAGGAGGGAAAAGAGCATACTGCATCTGTGATGAAGTGTGTCAGCTGGTATAGTGAAAGGCCCCTTTAAAATGATTCATGGCCAGTTTAGTCATTGATTCCTTGTTGTAACCCCTACGCTGTTCGCTGGTAGCTAATATTGGGCAATAAAATGTCCAGTGGGTATTGCTGGCATAGTCTGATGAAATGAAGGGGCAGTATTTTCATCCTAATGGGATGCAAGCTACAAATGCTTTAAAACTATGGATCATTTGAAGTAAGAATGTTTCAATGTCCTTTTTTGGTAGGACAACATCATCTTCTTAGTGCTTAGTTCTTTGTCAAAAATCTTCCTGGATTTTCTTTATAGTCAAAAATAGTCTTGATCAAATCTCTTGTCAAATTCAGGGGATTAAATGCTTCTTGGTCAGGACAGGTGAGTGTCACGTTTAGACTTATCTAATATACTTAATGGCACGTTTCCAAAACTTGAAGCATCTGTATACTAATATGAATTGATTCTATCTCCTGTAGGGCAATTGGTGGAATTCTTAAAGAAAGTTGAATCCAAAGGGCCCCTCTCGTGTGATACAGTTTTGAAGATATTTTATCAGACCTGCAGAGCAGTGCAACATATGCATAAACAGAAACCACCTATTATTCATAGAGATTTAAAGGTACAGTATAGAATTTAAGTGACTGCAACATTTGAATGAAGTGTGAAAGCAGAGTTCCAGGGTGGACTACAAAGTTGATGCTATAGAACTAATGAAATTGAGACACTTGAGTATGCAGCATTTCAAACGATGGCATGAGTACATATCCATCTCGTTGGGATTGCTGGCTGGGAATGAAGGACACCACTACATGGCCTAGTGTTTAGACCACATCCTTTATCTATATTTTTGGTGTTAGAAATACTTGTTGAATATCCTGTTAGTTAATTTTCAGAGCTCAAACTGAAACCATGTAGTCTGTTTCCCACTCTTACTTTAGTCTGAACAATAGTTCCTATTTGCTGGTAAGTAAGCTCGTGACTGGAAGCCACACACATTTTGGTGGTAACAATTTTTTTAATAGCAGAAACATAAAGCTGTGAAAGGAAGCGGAGCGTAATGTCAGTGTGCTACTGAAATGCTGTTCTCTTTTGAACCTAGCGACTAGCTGCAGTGAGTGTAGGGGATTGGGATGGCTGGAGTTTCAAAAAGCACTAAAATCTACTTTTTGTTGTAGTGCTTGGTTTTGGAGCACATTGACTTTTGAACTAAAACTAATCAAGGGGGGCACTTGTTTCCTGATTGGTTATTTTAAGACCTTTCATCCTTTGTCAGTCCTTTACAAATGGTATGGAAGGCCTTGAGCTCTGAGGTAAAATTGTGGCCAGTGCCATCCTGTTGGGAGGAACTAAGCAGTTGCCAAGGGTTAGCATTTTTTAAAACTTGAAATTTTTCCTGAGACACTAGTTCAAGGGCAGGGACTGATGTTTTACTCTGCTCTACTTGAACAGTGGGGGTCCTGATTCTGTGTAGGATGCTACTATAATAGACCGTTTTACAGAGTTAAATCAAAATTATGTTGTTGATTTCTTCTGTTACTATTCCAGTGCCTATTAAGAAAACCTGTCCCTGGCAGAGACTCAAAGTGATGGGGAGAGGGCGAGGGGGCAGAAAGCGGGTTTCATACTACAGTAGCTGCACAGGGAGAGGGCTTTTACAGGAAAATTCAGAGCAAGATCTTGATCTTTGTGCCGCAACAGACAGTGGCCTCACTAAAATGATCCAGAGAGGTGTGTTTGCACTGCAGTTCCCAGAAAACTGAGTTTAGGTAGACTGAGGAGAAAACTTACGTCAAACAGTCTCTGTGCATTTTTAAACTAAAATGTTTTTGCTTTAATAACTGTTTACAAATATAGATATCTTCTCTTTATTTGGCCTTAAAGCGAATGACTCTAGTATTGGTTGTGTGGGAAAACGAGTGCTTGAGCTCAGTATCTTCAAAATTTTGTAATATTCTTTTGCTTAAAGATATTAGGATCTCTGAAATTCTCTGATATAATGCAGCTTCAGATGGGTTGAGATTCATGCAGTGACCTCCACTGCAGACTTTCCATTACTTCATTCATATGTTTGTTGGTGTGGCGTGCACTCCTTCATTTGCTTTCGCCCAATCCTTTTCACAATGGCTAATGTTAATGTGATTTTCATGCACGCGGCATTGTAAGAACTGGTGCCATGTGTTTAAATTCCACATTCATTATGGGGTACAACTCTTCCCCGATATAACACGAATTCGGATATAACACAGTAAAGCAGTGCTCCGGGGGGGTGGGGCTGCGCGCTCCAGCGGATCAAAGCAAGTTCAATATAACGCGGTTTCACCTATAACACAGTATGTTTTTTTGGCTCCCGAGTACAGCGTTATATTGGGGTAGAGGTGTATTTTGAATAGTCGCATGGCTCTCATACTCGAAACTCTCTGAATTAATTTCTCCTCCTGAGTAGTTGCCATGTGGAACAAAACAAGTCCTTTTGTAGCATAGGGGAGGCATTTTCTTCAGAATTAAATTTGGATTTTTAAAGGTCCCTCTAAGCTGGTTTTGGAAGACACAGGTAGAGACCCCCTTAAAATATGAACACTCTATTGACATTCTTAGGAAGGGAGTGACCACTGTTTCTAAAAGCTGGGCCCAAGTAAGCATGCACATTTTACTCTGTCTTCCCAGGGGGTGCCGATGATATTCGTGTGTGCTGATTGTATTTGGTTGTTGCTTTGCCCACTATGCCAGACCTGGCGCATACAGGAGAGCACTAAAGAGTGTACTAACAGAATAGGAACCACTAAATGGAAGAGTCAGTTATTAGGGTGGGTCAAGGGAATGCAGCCTCAAGATACAATGATAAAGATATTCCATGCTCTGAGGCTATCACAATCTAAGGCTAACAGAGAAGACGAGACCTATTGAAAACAGTTTTAATTTTTTGAATAAACGTTTAATTTATATTTTCCTTTTCGGGCCTCACAATCAGCACAGAATTCTCCTGGAGAGAATCTCTTCCCCCCCCCCCCCCAAGCTATTAACTGGTGCTCCTGATACGGTTTTAAACTACTCATTAATCTTGAAGGGCAATTTGTAAAAGACTCCTTGCATGTCTTTTCTAGCTTAAAGCACTAGAAAATGTCGTGCAGAACCAACATATGGAGGGACATGGATTAAATAAAATACTAGATCCTTTGAATTGAATTTGTTAGAAATAAAGATGTACTATTCCACAAAATAGATCATGTCATTCAGGGCAAGCTGTCTAGTGGCTAGACTAAGGGGAGAGCTGGACTTCCTGGGCTTACTACCTGTTTAGCCTCGGCTTGGACCTTAAGCCCGTCACTTACTCTAATAGTCTTAAGTGTCCATTCTAACGTGGGATACCATGTGTAGTAAAATACTAAGTATTGATTCATTTTATTTAATAAATATTTGTACACTTCCTGGGCATGATTTAAAAGTGTGCATGAGCTACACAGCCTTCATAAATGTTTGTAACTTTTTCAATTTGTTAACCTACCTGCAGGTGGAGAACATGCTGATTAGCAACCAAGGGACAATTAAGCTGTGTGATTTTGGCAGTGCTACAACTATAGCACATTATCCTGATTACAGCTGGTCTGCACAAAAGAGAGCAATAGTTGAAGAGGAGGTGAGAAACTTGACAGCAGTTAATTATAAGATATTAAATTCATTCTATTAGTGCTGCTCTGTTAGCATTAACCTCCCCCCCCCCAACTTTCCCTCATTTATGATTGTTCTAAGACAATTGAAGCCCTTTCAGTTGTGAAGTGGATTACAAGGCCTTATTTTTCGAGTCAGCTGCTGCTACCTTGTTCAAATGTTATCTGCCATTACAACAAAACAGTTTGTGTTTTTAAACTACCTTCCTGAGCACCCATCCTAGTCGATGCCCATGGAGTGCCTGCTACTCTCTACTGTGGAGAAATAAAATATAAACACTAATTGAAACTTGACACAATTGATAGTGTAACTTTTCATGACCTATTTAATAAAAAGGGAGAGGAGTAAGGAATCGACTGCTATTTTCTGTTAGTACGTGAATTTTCACCATCTGCAGAAAAGTAAAAAGTCAGTTGTACCCCAGTGACTCTGATCAAATCTAATCAAACATGGCTTCTAAAACTGAATTGGGTGGCATGTGATGAAGCAGTAGGTTTGACAGATCTTGGACTAGACAGTATTGCTGTACTCTTAGGACAGCTATATCAATGTTGGCATGTTCCCCCTTTCTTTCAAAATGCAATTTGTCCATAGATCTGGCTAAGTACTAGTAATGCTGACAAATCCTAATGTAGCGGTAAAGATGGATTTACTTTAAGTGATTTCTCAAACCCTTCTAAATCTATGGAGAAGGTCAGTAATGAGACGCAAACTAAATCCATTAACTTGTGAGAGTCTGCACGCTCATTGACAGCATCAACTTCTTTTTTTGGGAGGTCCTGAGTACTAGAAGAATGATACCTGCTTGCTTCTGGTCCCCTTCTCCTTTTTGGAACCTGAACTCATGGAGAATTGTCTGCTGGCTCTCTGGGAAGGGAAGAGAAGATGGTGCCATGCAGTTGGCCAACTTCTCACATGGGGCGGAGGAAAAAAGGCACAAAGTAGGGTCCTTCCTCCAGATGCATCCTAAGGGCATGATATAACTCAGCGGTCGGCAACCTTTCAGAAGTGGTGTGCCGAATCTTCATTTACTCACTCTAATTTAAGGTTTTGCGTGCCATTAATACATTTTAACCTTCTTAGAAGGTCTCTTTCTATAAGTCTATAATATATAACTAAACTATTGCTGTATGTAAAGTAAATAAGGTTTTTAAAATGTTTAAGAAGCTTCATTTAAAATTAAATTAAAATGCAGAGCCCCCCGGACCCGGGCAGTCTGAGTGCCACTGAAAATCAGCTCACGTGCTGCCTTCAGCACGTGTGCCATAGATTGCCTACCCCTGATATAACTGTTCCTTGTTTCTTAGTGTCACTCTCCCCTGTTGAGAGCAGGTAATCTGGTTTTGCTTGCTGTGTGGCTTGAAGGGACTACTGCAGCAGGTACTTTTTAATTACAGTTAAAATGTCATTCCTGTAGGCTTTACATAGAGGTACTTCCCTCGTAACTTTATTTTGAAGCAAGGACTTGCACCTTGACTAATGTGCCCCAAACTAGGTTTTGAAGTCAGAATGCCCTTTTTACTTGCTTTTTAGCAGAACATTTTTGGAACGCTGTTCCCTGAGGCTGAACATAAAGCATTGTTCAGGTCTTTGCTTCATGAACTTTTACTTTTGTTTCTGCAGATTACAAGAAACACAACACCAATGTATAGGACTCCAGAAATGATAGACTTGTACTCAAACTTTCCAATCGGTGAAAAACAGGATATATGGGTAGGAACTTCTGTTTCTCTTTGTATGTAATGATGCCTGTTAGATATCATAGTTAAATAGTACCTATATTTCATCATATTTGTGATGTTTAAACAATTGCACATTCACGGCTATTGGAATTGCATTGTTTGATATTAAAACAAAACCTCAGCTGTCTGTATCTGAGACATTTCAGGCAAAATAAGCTTAATTGGTATGAATTTTAAATCTTAATTTGGGCTGACCTGGGGCATAGACCTCAGGAACTTTGTCCCAGCTCCTTCAATGCCTTGAGTGACGTGTCTGTGTTGCAACAACTTTGCTTCTTCTCTGGAGGTCAGGAGAGGGCTCTCTGGGAGTCCATGATCACTACTACGTGATTAGACAGAGGTTGCTAAGACACACAACTCTGATTTTGCTCATTCACAAATCCTAGTCTCAAGGTAGTACAGAGTATGAAATGCAGGAACAACTTAAACGTTAGTACTTCTTAACTCTTGTTTGTGTGGAAATCACGTATGTTTCTCTAAGTGGGATGGCAAAAGGCAGTGGGAAATGAGTAACCTGCATTGACAGGATTGCAGTTGCATTTGAAGAGAAGTATTTAAACTCCCAGTCCATCTTCAGTTAAGTGTCAGCGAGGAGTCCTTTTGCATTCTTTTTGGTGATGTTACACATTAGTATTTTTCAGAGTATTGGATATTTTTATGAATGCACATGCTTAACTTCTAAAAACTGTACCAGTGTCGGTAAACAAGTCTGTATGACTTTTTAAACATGTATTTTAATATCAAATGCCGAATAAACACTTGAACATCAAAATTTGTGATGGCTGTTCCGGGCTATTGGAATCTTAACTACTGTCTAAACCTTTTAAACAACACATTTTAAAAATTAACTTGAGCTTCTTGTGTTCTGCCTCTGTAGTTGTCAATCTTCATATTGAATTTTTGGAGTGAAGGGTGTGAGAGTAAACCCAGGGTAATATAGTTCTTAAAAACCTTACTCATATATCAGATTAAATCCATACAAGTTGGACCACAATTGAATCCACTTACTGAAAACAGGAAAGGTAGCCCTCCATTTATTCAGAGGACTTGGGCAATTGAAATCTTCGGTTAGGATAACCCAGGTATTTACTGGCGTGGCTGACTCCTCCTATTTAACAGTATGTCAGCTGTTGTCACATACCGCTCTGTTCTTTAAAAGGGCCGTGTCCCAGCCAGTGGAGCTCTTGTAGCGCCTGCCATTCTGCTACGCTGCCTTGTCTCTTGTCTGATGGTCTGTGGTCAGGGAAATCAGAGTTGCATAAGCAGTACAGCACAGCTGCAAGGGGCATACGTGGTTTTAGTTTGTGATTCGGGTGAATGGTTGTACTTTACTTTCCCCCAGGGAGTTCAGTATCCTCCACTGCTCTATTCTAGGCGCTTTTCACCATACTGTCTAGATGAATTTGTAGTGCTGCTGGTCAGGCCATAAAAAAATGTGTGAACTTCAGTGTGGATCAAAAATGTAACTCCTGTTAACCACAAAGCTTCCTGAAATGCTTTTGCAGATCAGGAATACATTAGATATTACTCCTATTATTCCTTTGACCAGTTACCAGGTTCTCAAATGTGGTCCGCGTTCTCCTGGCTTTTGATTATTTTATTCATTTTTCTCTGGCTCCTTTTCCGAAGTCTAGACACCTTCTAAAATTTAAAGCACACCATTAAAAAACCCTCAGTACAGTTCTTATACTTTCCAAGTAAAAGCCTTCCACAAACCAAACACCTTACCTCACCGTATCATCATGCAAAGCCTATTCATGTCCAGCACCTTTCCCTAGTGACCCCAATTTCCCTAAATTCCTGGGGCGGGGGGAATGAGCTTTGGGAGCATGTTTGGACGGTTAACAAATCTGGATGAAAGAAGGAAGTGAAATGCAGAGTCAAGAGAACCCCATCACTGCCAGTGTCCTGCCAGCAGCTCCTCCAGCTGTTCTGAGAGTCCTTTAGCTCAATTCTTTTTGTCTGATCTCAGCTGTGTCTGTATGGAATGGGAGACGGGATCTCCCAGCTAACCAGATCCTGGCTGCCTGTTTAAAACAAGCACATTGAAATCCACCTAGAAACTTGCAGGAGCCAGTGTGGCTCTTGGAATCTTGGTGCTGTGTGTCCGGCATGATGTGCTACTTACCAAATGGGTGACGCTGTTGTGCACAATCTTCAGCATCCCACACGGGGGAAGCACGACGCTTCGGAATTCCGTATGCTGCAATTGATCAGATTCCATCTGAGCTGGCTTCTGCTCATGGTCAGATCACGTTCTCTGCGCTTCACGAGTCACCATGACTTAGTTGACCTGTGGATGGAAGAAGCTGGAAGATACTGTTTTTAAAGATTTTTGTACCTAAAATAAAGGTTTTATCATAAGTAATACCATAGAAATAATGGCGTCTTCTACCAATGGGCATCTTTTGAATTGAAGTTCCTTTTTTTGCTTCTATCTTCAGGCTGAGCTTAAGGAAAAATATTTTTGTCCCCTCAAATAGCAGGTCCTCCTGGGACTTGGCCTCCAGAAAAAAATGCTGTCCTGTCAGATAGTTTATCAGAGTTCTTCCATTATCACTAGTGCTTTCTCTTTGAAAGTCGCATGGCTTTTTTGTAGGTGAAATCTTTGGTGTTTAGTATCAGCATTAATGAAGGTTTCCACAAATTCAATGGGCTTCAGGGAGCATTCTTCCACCACCACCATGAGAGTGCACACATTCTTAGTTTTTATTTGATTGTCAAGATGCCCACTAATGTTATGATTGCAAGGTTTTTTGTGGCTTACATTTTCCAGTTCTACATTCGATCTACGTTGTCTGTAGCCGCTAGCGTATAGAGCAGTGGATGAAGACTCAGGAGACATAGACAGTGTTTCCAGCTCTGCCACTGGTCTGTTGGGTGACCTTGGAAAGTCACTTCTCCTTTCTGTGCCTCAGTTTCCCTATCTTCAAAATGGAGATGATACTGAACTCTTTTGTAAAGTGCTTTGAAGTCTACTGATGACAAGCTCTATGTAAGAGTTAGAGATTATTTTTGTCAAGGCTGTTTTCTTTGCTCGTTATTTTATCCAACTTATTAATTTTCGCTGATGCAGTTTCACTTAGTTCTTTAATGTGGCTTTATCACTTATTTTAGGGTAATTCCTCTGATTCTTTATTGAAACCCATTTGGTTGGTGTCTGGTGGGTCTCTAGCACTAGAACTTAAAAAAGCAGAACCTTGTTTTGATTTTTGGCTTTTTCCAGTATCTCAGCTCTTTGCAGTGGAGCTAATCAGATTTCTTTCTCTGCACATCTGTTACTGAGTGCATTTGCTCTGTTAAACGTTAACTCCTTCTTACCTTTAGTTGTCGTTATGAGAACATTTCCTGATTCTATAAAGGTGTTTGTACAAAAATAACCCGGTTAGAAAATTAAACTGTAGTAAGCCAAGGCTGGATAGCCTTCATCCAAGAATTCAGAACCAAAACCAAGTTAACTGAGCTGCAAACACAAAAGTGCAACTTCATAGTCACCCTCAGAAGTCTAGTATTACCTTCATTACAATAGGGACTCAATGTCCAACAGAGAACCCGTTGGGTACAAGCACAGTGCGAGTCTCTACATACAGTCTGAATAGTCAAGACAGACAGAACGTGAGAGCGTAACCAGAGGCATAGAGACGTGAAGTCACTTGGCCCAAGTTGTAGCATCACATTGTATCCATGTGCTCATGTGGAACGGAGGGGGATTCTGTGAATTACCCTGGGCGCACTTCTTCAGTACCAGACAAAGTAACAGAGCTACAAAGAACCGAGTAATGTAACCTCATATTAAGCATGTTCTTTGTGATGGTGAATTGTACCGTTTTTAACTTGTGAGAATTCTCAGTTAAAACTGATTGGATATAATATAGATGGACAACGAATTTTTATAAAGGAAGAGGCTATTAAGGGAACTTGGAAACCACAGGGTGGTGAAGTGTTGCTTGCTCTCTTAACCAGCTTTTAAAACCCAAGATGCAAGTGTAAGAATGAAAAGCTATGTTTTCATTGTGGAAAGATGATTTATATTTTAAGATTTTAGGAGACCGTTAGTGAAACTGTTTGGTTAATATATTGGGCAAAATTTACTATGCACACAATTCAGAGACTAGTGAAAATTGTGAAGGCACCCAGAACTTAACTGGTGTAACACAAGTAGAGGTGCTAAGTAGGTGGCCATCAAAGTGACAGATAGCTATCAAAGTAAATATCTGTAAATTAAAGCACTTTGGAAGGAATAACTTTAAATAAACCATATACGTTTATGGGTTCTGAATGACTAAGACCTTACAAAGTAAATTGAGGTGTCGTTATGGACAGGTGAATGCTCAATGCAGAGCACCCATCAGAATAACTAACAAAGTATTAGGCTGCATTTGAAAGAGAATAATGAATACCATTACATAGGTGTTCTACAAATCGGTGACACACGTTGGCTTTGAATGCCACAATTTGCTCAGCGCTTGAAAAGGAGGTAGCTGAAACTGTCCAAAGACTGGCAGCAAAAATAGTCAGGAGAATAGTGATTTGCGCTTTGACAACCTACCCAATATGTACTTAGTAACCAAATGAATTTGAATTAGGAGAGCAAAGAGAGGACCAAATCCTTTAAGTAGGAGTGACTTACACAGAAACTATGAAAGTAGGATTTGGCCCATAAAAATAGAACTCTCTCTTTGGAGCACCTACTTTAAAAACCATTGTGCTACACTTTGCTACATATATAATAAAGGTGTTGCTACCTATATATTATACTATAATATAAATGCCTCAACCTGGAGAGAATTTTAAAATAAAAAAAAAATCTGAGACTGAGGAAACTAGCAGACCTTTAATCATAATGGCAAAACTGTACCACAGTCTTCATGCTGCTAGAAACGGTTAGTCTGTGTAGACTAGCTTGTTAATCTTTAATCCTAAAGAATGAAACTTCAAGGGTCTAGTTATTTTAGAAAGAAGGGGGGTATGCAGCTGAATCACTGTAAATAGTGTTGGGTTCCATGACTAAGCAATTTGCATTTCATAAAGCAAAGTTATTTTAGATTTGAGCTTGATCAGAGTTGTTCCAGTTTCTAATCAGTTTCATATCTAGAATTCAACTTTAAATGGTTTTCGGTGCCTGAATTACTGACTTTTCTGTAATGTTCGCTTTTATTTCTGTGTAGGCCTTGGGCTGTATCCTGTATTTATTGTGCTTTAGGCAACATCCATTTGAAGATGGGGCTAAGCTTCGCATAGTCAATGGGAAATACTCTATTCCTCAGAATGACACTCGATATTCTGTGTTCCATGATCTCATTCGTAAGTTTAAAATCTTGTTCATTTATTCTGATGCTTTTGTGGACCTTACTTCTTTCATCATTAAAAATATGTTAGGTACAATGGGATTAATCATTCAGAATTTTCCAGTTCCATTGAAGTAGCATCGTAAACCATATGACAAGGATTAGTTTATTTTTAGCTATGTGACATCAATATGAAGAACTTTCAAACTTTTCTACATGCAGTTAAGAACTAGATTTTTTTAGTGTAAACCTTGTGGTTTTTCACTGATTTTTTTTCAATACTTAATCTTAGGATTTTGATAAATTGGCTGGAAATATTTTGCATTTTGGTTCGGATTCCTTGAATTTGTTTAAGAAACTTTGTTTTACTAAAGTTCAGAAGACACAGTTGAACTACTACAGTTGGTTGTTAAATTTCTGATGAAATGGGGTGGGTTCTAAGTTGCCTGTAAACATTTCTTCAAGATTGATTCTCTTGTAGTATTTTCTTTAAAAGTGTCGTCTTGATTCATCACTAAAATCCTTATTCTTAATACAGAGATGCCTGTTAAAGGCAAATGATACTTGGGTACAAGTTGGCTGTTTCCCTGGTTTTTCTGCACGCTTTACTATTGATAATCATGCTGCGCTTGAATCCGCTGAGGAAAGAACAGATTTATGCCATCAAAAAAGGACTGTTGTAATGTCTAAATTACCTTTTTTTAGGTTCCACTTTGAAGGTGAACCCAGAGGAGAGGTTGTCAATCACTGAACTTGTGAATCAGCTGCAGGAGATTGCGGCTGCTAGGAACGTGAATCCTAAATCTCCCATCACGGAGGTACGGGAGGGCTACAAAGAGTATAATCCTTCTCTTCCCCACCTTCAATCGATAGGAACTTTGAAACGGCTGTCAAAATGGTTGCAGTGAGATTTTCAAATGAGTTTAAGGGGGAGGGACTCTGGCTGATCTGAGGGGGAGGGACTCTGGCTGCTAGAGGCCCCAGTGGCTGTGAGCGGCTTTCAATCAGGCACAGCCGTCCAATCAGCCACACCGCACTCTGCATGAGGGGAAGGGGGAAATCCCGGACATTTCTACCTTATTAGAAATCCCCCCCCGGACGGCCATTTAAAGCTATAAAAGCCGACATGTCTGGGGAAACCCGGACGGATGGTAACCCTAGTTAATGCAAATGCCTGTGTGGACTTTTACTTTGGTTTAAGGGTTGCTTATTTCAGTTTCTGAAACCTGTTCCTAATTGACTTGAGTGTCCTTTTGCACAGATTTAAGTAAATAGATTAACTAAATCTTACCTTCAATTGAACTGGTGCAACTCTGCAAGCAGACGAGCCTTTTGAACTGTTGTGATTTCTGCTGCTGTCTGTAAAAGAAACAAAACCTTAAACTTTGCAGAACTGAAGTAAGAATTCACACAGACAGCTGCATTAGTTTTACTGCACTGGTTTAACCAAGAGCAGGTCTACAGTAGAAGTGCTACATTGGTACAACTGCAGTGCATGTGGTGAAGATGCTCTGTGCCAATGGGTGAGCTCTCCTGTCGGCATAAATGACTCCACCTCTGCAAGAGGTGGAAGCTATGTTGATGGGAGAGCGTCTCCTGCTGACATAGCACCAGTGTGGACAGTGCTTAGTTTCGCTGTAACTTGCATCGCTCGTGGGGGGGGGAGGGGTGTCCTTCACATCCCTGTGTGACATGAGTTAGATCGACTTAAGCTATAGTGTAGACCTGCCACTGTTTGTTCTGTATGAATGGGATTCTGCAGTAGCGGCTGCTGTTGGTCCTTAACTCTTGGTTGGCAAGCCCTTTTCTGTCTCCCAAGCTTTGGGGTTAGCTCTCCCAAGAAACATCTTTTTACCAGCTACAGTTACATTCCTGTTGGCAAGTTTACACTTGGTAAGTTTATGGGTTGGATCCAAAATAATGTAGCAGCTGCATATGGGTTCAGATTTCTGGCCTTGGTAACAGTGTATTTTATGCTTTCCCCTTCCCGCCAAGGAGACTGTGTGCAGCCCAGTCTACCTGTTTGTGCTTCATCTGGTGATTCCCCTTCTTCTCTGGGAAGTGCTTGTTGTTTTCAACGTTGTGTCCTTTTCCCATCTTCCGTTTTTAAGCAGTCTCCCTTGGTGTCTTTGGCCATATCTGCATTCATGTGGTACCCCTCTATTTCTGCCTAGGTGAATGGCTCATCGAAGCGTAATTTGGACATTAGGCATGTGTCCCCAAACATTGCAATCTAAGTGCCCTACTTCCTGGAGTTCAAATAATCCCTCATGCCAACTCTGAAACTCACTAGTATAGTGGCTGTCTAGGGTACGCTTCTGTCCGTGTTCCTCCTTGAGGTGCAGCGACCTAAATGAAACATGTAATGTGGGCTACAGAAGCTTGTCTTGCTAGATAAAACTTGATGCTTTTTTTGTCTCCTACTTGGGGGGGGTCACACTTTTTTCATGAGGAGTGTTTCTTGCTGTAGGGGAAGCGGGAGAGAAGGAAGCTCTGGAAGTTTCTGCACCCTTGTCTAGAAATGGGAGTAGGATTCTGCTCAAGTATGGCTGTCCCGTTTGTTGCCTGTCCTTTGCTCTGGAGCAGTGATACTCGGACTGAGGCTCGGGAGCCGCAAGTGACTCCTTATTGTATCTCCCGTACCTCTTTGCAACACGTGATAGTAAAACACTGAATGATTTAATTATTAACCAGTCTAAGTTATTAACCAATCAAGATGTCTTTTTTTATGTTATTAACCAATTGTCGAATACTTGGTCAGTCATTTTGCTATGAGATGTATATAAAAATAGTAAGTGAAACAATGAATTCACACTCCTGTGGCTCTTCTGGGGAACGTTGATCGTAATTTGGCTCCTGAACCACTGAGGTCTGAGTATCACTGCTCTGGAGTAAAGGTGCCATATCACTCTTCTAAAGCTGGGCCATCTTTCTTAGCCTTTCCTTTTTCATCTGTGTTGTAGAAGAAAGTTGAGTCTTTGTGGGTAAGTTTAGCTCTGATTTAGAAAAATTAAGGATAGGTTTGCAAGGCAGCCACCTTATTGCTAACCTGTTGAGTTCATAGTATCCGTATTTCAGCAGTTGAGCTGGGAGATTTTCCTGCCAAGATCCTGATACTCCTTCCATTCAACCTCGAGTTTTACTACTGACTTTGAGCAGTAACAATGTACCAGAGCAGCCAGAAAAACCTGGGCTGAAAGCCGAACTAAAGAATATTGGCCCTGTTTCTCATGGTGCCTAATGCACTGAAATAAAACTAGTGAAACTTCTTTTTTGTCCTTTCAGTAGTTTAAACAGCCATTCAGGGTTAAACAGTGAGGACCGGGCAACTTAAGTTTTGTAACTGTCCTTTGCCAATGCAGTGTTTATATACAAACTTAATCATATCCATCAGAAGAAATTTTTTTTTCTTTGCAGCTCCTGGAACAAAATGGAGGCTATGGAAACAATGCTGTGCCTAGAATGTCTACAAGTTTGGTGCCACAGGGCTCCAAGCCTGCGGGACAGCTCAACAATATGTACAATGCAGGTATGTACAGTGATAGGCATCTCTGCACACACCATCTGAATACAAACTAGTTGTGTTTATGGTATGTGAAAACTTCTGGGTGGGCTTGAAATTTTAAATGAACTTCCTTAGCAGAAATGTTCATTTCTCCTGAGTGATACTGCTATTCAGTATCTTGCTTTATGAAAACCACTTAGATTAAGTGATTATTGTTAAACAAGCTTGTATAGTTCTTGTGAAGGACTTCACATTTGTAGATTGATTCCGCCTTCTTCAGAATAGACTTCATGTTTATATATGGCAAATGTAAAAATTTACTCCCTACATTCTTCTCACAAGAAAAGAGAAAGGACTGTTTGCTAAAGTGCAACAGCTGATACCAAATGACATTGTTAACCTGTGGAATAAAACACTTAGATGAAAATGACTTATCTGTACAATGAATATCAATTTATACAAATTGTAGCAGCTAAGGAAAAGGCAGCACTTAAAGATTCATATAAAATTTGGAATATGCTATAAGAACATAAACATAGATTGGTTTAGGATCAGAAATGTCATTTTTCCAAAAAACAAACTCAAATAGAAACCTCCACTTTATAAATATATTATGCTAAAAACAGATAATAGCCTACTTTGGTTGAACTGCAGTTCTTCAAAGTAACCTATTAATTGGTCTTAGTCAAAACATCCTTTTTGTGTCCAATAGGTATAATCTTGTTAACTGAAATAACAGTTTCTGTCCTGTGTGATTTCATGGCTAAATATTAAACTGTTAACTTCATGAGCATAAATGCTTCAAGGAACTGGATATATTTCACCTAAAATGAAAGACTGGAAATGTTAATCATTTTACTGCATGCAATTTTTTCTCCTCTTTGATTTAAGTTATTTTATTCATGCCTTCTGTGCAGCTCATGAGAGAAAAGTATATATTCAAATATTAATTTACCTGAAGGGAGAACTTTAAAATGAGGTAAATTTATACTACCAATAAAATACTTTAGTAATACTGTCCACACTTTATTCTCTGTGGGATGAATCTTCTTTCATAACAGGATTGTGTTTTCAAATGCTTGTCTGACCATCTGCTTCACGCAGGGTCAAAGAGGACTCTTTTTTATGTATTACACAATAATGGTAACAGGATGTAGTCCAGCAGATGATGATAAAAGGAATTGTTAGTGATCCCGGTAACAAAGAAGTGGGCTGTAGCCCACGAAAGCTTATGCTCTGATAAATTTGTTAGTCTCTAAAGTGCCACAAGTACTCCTGTTCTTTTTGCGGATACAGACTAACACGGCTGCTACTCTGAAATCGGTAACAAATGTAACTTTCCGAGATAAAACCAGAAATGGCTGTAAAATGTACTACGTACAGTCAAGTAGCTTTCAGTGGCATGCTGCATATCAGGATGAAAGGCAGCATGCCACAATTTAAACCAGGGATCTCAAACTCAATTTACCTTAGGGTCAGGGCCAGTCCTCAAACCCTCCCCGCGGGCCAATAATGTCACTGAAGATAGTGGTCGGAAAATAAAATGTTTATATTGTATTTTTTTTGTTTCGAATTTCTCAGAAATAATAAAACTGTCATACAACTTCTTCGCCTGCCAGAGAGTTTTTAGTGTTTGCCAGACACCTGGCAGTGCTTCAGTTCTGTCAGTTTGTTGATGGTTGGCCTCAGTGACTGAGCAGTTGAAACCTACAGGATGCAGCAAGGTGTGCGTCAGATAGCTGTGTTCAGTATTTTGACTTGTTTATATTAATTGTGGGGGGAAAAAGGAACACTGCCTCCATGGCTGACTCTGCCCGGCAACTAGTGATGGTATCACTGTCCCTCTTCCCCCAGCCAATGGGAGCTGCGAGGGCGGCACCTGCAGCAGACATTGCTGGCAGCGTGGCTGCAGGTGTCTCCTCCGCGGGCCACAGTGGGGAGGTTCTTGGGCCGCAGATGGCCCGTGGGCCGGAACTTTGAGACCCCTGATTTAAACAGTGATATGACAGAAATGCATACAGCCAGACACTTGGTGGTCTGTCTTTCCTTCATAAAGAGATATAAAATGGTTTGTTACATCTTTTATAAATGTAATAATACCTGTAGACTATTCTAGTTTACCACCGTAGTTGGGAACATGGAAAAATACTGTTGTGTAGTTTGTTCTTCAGAAGTTGGAAGCTTCGTTCTGGGACTGAGCATGACGGGAAGGCTGATCCTGTTTTTGTACATCTTAAGTTGTTGGCAGTTCAGTTTGATTTTGCCTTGTGAAGAGAAATTTGAGCACAGTTCCATTACATTCCTTGTTTTATTTTAAATTGTAACTTTAGATTTGCTTTTTAATTCTAGGCCTGACAGTTGCAGAACTTGACCAGTCTTACGGAGGGTTCTTTGACATTCTCAAAGGTGGAACAGAACGGTTTTTCACAAACATCAAGGATACTTCTTCTAAAGTGATCCAGTCTGTGGCCAAGTAAGTAGGAAGAACATCAGTGTTGATAATTTCTCAAAGGGAAAGTCAGAAGTGTCCTATTGAAACTCCAAAACGCTTCCTGCTGGTGCTGATATGAGACCAAATATGCCAGTATGTAGTGTTCCATTTAAAATTTCATCACTATGAACTCATGTAAAAATCACTATGGTAACTATGTCGTAGGAGTTAGAATTGGAAAAGAGCATTTTAAATTAAATGAATCTTTAAGTCACTGTAGAATGGTTTCCTGCAATGTACAGCAGAATTCCCCCAAGTAGGGCACCTGGACAGACAGCCTCCTTGCTTTGCCCATTACTAATAATCAGAGCTCACATACTTGACTCGGTGTACACAAATTTGCAGAGGGACAATAGGGTTGAGGTCTGTTATTTCTCACCTCTATATATTATTTATTTATTTAAAAACATTTAGGCTGTTAACAAGCATGTTATCTCTGGAGAGACAAATCCACAGTTTGAGAACTGCGAAACTAAGCATCTCTGATGGTATCTTCTAGACTGAGCACTGAGTCCCATTGGGTAGATAGAAAGATTAACCTAAATAATCTATACAGAAGCCCCTGGAGCCCCATAAAATTGGGACCCTAATCCATGAACTATTGGAATTCATTTACAAAACTTTGCTTAAACCTTACATGAATATATTGTCTCATACTATAGAATTAGAATTTATAATCCCTATTCCATGATGAGATATCTTTGAGCTATAATGTTTCTTAATTAAAACTATCTTTAGATTGCTTTTTTCCTCAAAGCATTTTATCAACAAAATCCGATTTAAATACAAAAATCAGATTTTAAAATCATTGATTTTTATCCACCCTGTTCATTTCGTGTTAGGTTTCCCACTATGCATGAGGACTGACTAGTGGGCTACTTCCACCAGAAAAAGGCATAAATATTGGTATGGCTAGAACACTTCCCCTTTCAGCACCTGGGTGAATTGATCCATGTTGAAGGTCAAATGAACACTGCTTGATCATCTAGAGCAGACAGTCAGTAAATGATCAATCAAGTGTTCTCTAGAGAAGTCTGTCTTAACTAGCCTTAGAAATGTGCCTTCATTACTTTATTTACCTATAGAAAATTAGATTTCCATTTTTCTCTGTCTGTATGCCTTGTCTGTCTGAGCTATTTTGAGAGGAAGGAAGTCGGGCATCAGGTTTCTATTCCTGGCTGGGTCAGATCTCTACCTGGAGTGAGTCATCTGTGCTTGATCTTTCTGTTCCTCAATCTGTACAATAGGGATAATAGGAATTTACTCATAAGGGAGCTGTCAAGTTTCATAAAACACTTTGAGATCTTGGTTTGGGAAGTGCTACAAAAATTTACTGCTCCCTATTTTCAAAGTCCCCAGGAGCTCAGTGGTGGAGCAGACAGAATCTCTGAAGATTAATGCTAGTATTTATTCTATTCTCTGTCCTGCAAGAAGGCTTCACTGTGGTGATGTCTCCTTTTTTTCCCTTTTAGAGTAACCATACTGTATATAAATGACTTGTAACGGCAGTAATCTATCTTCCATGTCCTAGACTGATTTAAACCCCTTTGTAACTAATTGTTCAAATACTAACTGTAGTTTGATCTAGTTTTCTGTACCTCTCAGTGTTTTCTTGTCTGCTTACTTATTATCGCTGAACAGCTTACTACCTATGTGGCCCACCCATGTACAATACAATATGATACCTTACCTGCTAGTGTCTTGAAGCTCTTTCAAAAGCTACTCTTCGATTCAAATGCTTTATATACATAACACCTTCCTTTCATTTTTAGCAATGATCTATCTTCTGTAAATTCATACTGGCTACTTTTCATGGAACTAAAGTGAATCTTAAATATTCAATTTACCTACTAGATAGTCTCCAAAACAGAATTCAAATATAATTCATAAAATGGGAAACAGTTAATTACTGCTTAGGCAATAAGAGCCTGTGTAGGAAAGAAGGATGGGTGCTAGTCAGAGACTTGGGAGATCTAGGCATAATTCTCTCCTCTGCCCCATACTTCCTGTGTGCTGTTATGCAAGTTGCTTAATCTCTGTGCTCCAGTTCCTTATCTGTAAAATGGGGATAATAGCCCTTCCTTACCTCATAGAGTGAGGATAAATTCATTAAAGATTGAGATGCTGGGATACTGTAGTAATGAGGTCCATAGAAGTACCTAACATAGGAAGATACTGATAAAAAGGTTTGAATAGCTGGAAGTTGATAGGCAGGTGAGTTGCGTTAGTCATGCTACCATATGTTATAACTGCACTGGTTAAGATTCGTTAGCCTCCTCGTGTGTAAGTGCAAGAACTGTCTGTTTTTAAAAAACAGTCTCCATTTGAAAATCTAATCAGTGTCCACAACAGCTGCCTTTCTTGGTTACATGTATTTGGTCTTGCAGTATTTGCCTTATCCTGTAGTGCACCGCTCTCCTGCTTTACGCAGAGCTCTTACTGATGATATTCCCAAATGGAAACATGATCTCCATACTAGCTCATTAATAGAAGAAACTACTGCTTCAGACATTGCTATTTGCATTTGAATGGATTCATTTTTTTAATATATTAACTTAGAGGTGTGTTTTGTTTTTTTAATTTCAGTTATGCAAAGGGAGATTTGGATATATCGTATATCACTTCCAGAATTGCTGGTATGATCGCTTCATCTTTCTTAATCATTGTTTTGAACTGTGGTTTTGTGAAAGTTGATACCTCAAACATTGGTGGTGTTCTGTTTTCAGTGATGTCCTTTCCAGCAGAAGGTGTAGAATCTGCCATCAAAAATAACATAGAAGATGTGCGGTTATTTTTAGACTCTAAACACCCTGGACACTATGCTGTTTACAATCTATCTCCAAGAACATACAGGTCTTCAAGATTTCATAATAGGGTGTGTATGTGTTTTTCTTGCCTATTGATTTTTTCCTTTAGTAGGTCTTTCAACACAATAAATTGAGTAGACCTACCACTTCTTGTTGTATTACATGCTAAAATCTTCTACAATCCAATGTTTAGGATGCATAGTTAAAATCACAAATGAGCAATTACAAAAGTTAAAGGTCTCATGGCAACATTACCTGTGTCATGCTTTTACCACCAGTTCAGACTTGCAAATAGGAAGGATTTGTCCACTTACTGGAATGGTGTAGCTTTGCTGACGAAACATCTAGGCACCCAGAACCTCCCTCTAGATATAGTAAATGAGGTTCAGGAACAATTCTGTGTTCCACCTGTTTGCAGAGGCTTCCCACCCTACCGTGGGAACTACTTATGATGGCTTCACTACTGGGATTTCTCCTTTTTTCATCTCTCTCTTCCTTATTCTTGACTTCCATCTGGACCCAGCCCCCGAATGACGCCCTTCCTCAAGTGAGCGATCTAGCCATGCCTACTCCTTGCTGCTTCCTGAAATGGTGGGTGCAGCATAGCCCAGCCTGCCCGTCTCTGTGAAACCTTCCTGTCCAGTTCTGGAGAACCTAGAAGGGGGGTGGGGTGAGGACATGACTTACTCCATAACCGGATAGAAGATACCAGCTAGGTAGGCCGTAAAGTATCAGTGAACACTTCTTTGCTCCTTTTTTGACTCCTGTCTCTCAACCAGTCTATGACTGGCTCAACAGCAAAGTCTCAGGTTGACCTACCTCAGCCCTCTAGCAGAACCATGCCCCAGTGCTGTCCCCAGATCTCCCTGTACTATACATTTCAGGCTTTGGTTTGACCTTTATACAGCTAGGAGTCCAAGCCCCTCAGGGAGATCTTTCACTCCAGAGAGGTGTTAGTATTGGATAGTCTGGAAGTCTCATCTATTCCAGGTCCCTTCTTGGACCTTAACCTGTAAGGTGGGATCTCTCCATTAACATCCCTTCTTCATCCATATAACTGCCCCCTTCTCCCCCCCAAATCTCTGTCTGCCCAGCACTATGCATTTCACCGGCCTGCTTTCCTTTGGCCTGTCCTTGCCATTTACTCCTTCCTCCAACAAGTCCTCTCCTCGCCATAGAAGGATACGAGGTAGCACCTCAGACCTAAAAGAGAATTCCCTCTGTCTCCAAATGGGAGCCTGAGGATTGGAATTAAGATGGGGAGGATGAGCTGTTTGCCTAAAGCTGCCTGGAAAGTGACTAAGTCTGAAAGATTGAGGGATCCTTAGGGTCTTGGCCGAATTGTTTCTGGGGTGCACAGTATTAATGCCAAGATTATTGTGACCCATAATGCATCTGGAACAGAAAAATCCTGAAAGTAAGAGCTTAATCAGCGACATGCCTCCAACACTTAAACAAAAAAATAAAAACAAAAAAAATTTAGAAAGGTCCTCCAAATGCACCACTTCCCCCCCCCCCCCCCCCAAACTCTGACTTTATCCAGAGTTTCCAGTTCAAATCACATTTGCAGTTTACAGAGATCTCATTCCCTGGATAGAAAACTCGAGTCTGCCCATAAGATATACAGTTCCTTAGCATGCATATTTGAAGTGTCTGTTGCCCATGCAGTTACAGCCCGAGCCATCTTGGCACGGGTGACGGCACTGTTGAAATTGGCAAATCCAAAGCCGTCAGTGACCTCCTGAAGTTTGTCAGCCCTTACTGTTCATTTAGCCGGTCAGTGACATGGTCCTTACTTGTTCCAATGTAGTCAGAAGGTAAATGTGGATCTGCACTTGTCAAAAGCTGTTGCCCAAACTGATCTTGATAAGGCTCCCATCAATGGCCAGAGGTATTTGAGGACCTACAAAAACAAGGTTTCCTTCACACAGCAGAAATTTATCCTGGAAAATAAGCTCTTTGTTTCACTTGAATCAAGAAGCTTTCCCTTTTCATCTTTGTTTGAACCTCATACACCTGAAGGACATGCTTCTTAATTCTCTGGACATTAGCAGGGCAAAAATGTATCCCCACAATATAGTCATGCTACAAATTGGACTCATTAATTCATTGTTGTGGACACAAAAAGAAGACCGTTTCTAAATTTAGAGTATCATGCTGAGTGAAAGCAGCCATGTCAGAAGTTAACAGCATTCAAGACTCCTTCAGTGTCCATAAAGACTCCCCTTTGAGACTCATTGTGTTGTTACGATCACAGAGGAACACAACATGCTTATAACTTCAATACTCTGCTTACTAGCCATTGCAAAATGGATGTTTCCTCATCTTTGGATACTCTAGGCCTGGCAGGCAGCTATTTCTCGAACTCGTACTTAAATTCTCGCTCCTATGCTCATCCACCAATACAAAACTTTCTCAGAACTTTCTTGTCTTTTGCGTTAGTTACAGTTGAAGTTAATGCTAGTTTTGAATCCTCTCCTGGCTTATTCTGACTCCCATTCTAATGTAATAGCTTTGTCCATTCTAATATAATAGTTTCTGGGTGCCCAGAACCTGCCTAAGTCAGCAGAACTCTCCGTTCTGCCAATTTTTTCTGACCCTGACATTAAGACATCTCTCTTTTGGAGGATTACGTAGTGTTTGGTCTGTCTATGCTTGAGGAAAAGCCCCGCAATAAAGCTGCAGTTGGGCTGGGTCAGCTGACTCAGGTTCACGGGGCTCAGGCTGCAGTGTAGATGTTCAGGCTCAGACTGGAGCCCGGGGTCCGAGACCCCATGATGTGGGTGATCTCAGAGCCCAGACTTCAGCTCGAGCGCAAACGTGTACACTACAATTTTACAGCCACCCTCACCCCCCACCTGAGCCAGCTGACCCAGCCTCTGAGATTTGGTGCAGTCGGTATTTTTATTGTAAAATAGATTTACCCTCTGATACTTAAACAGCCTTGTGCAGCTTATCCCACCAGCAGCCCTTGCACCTGCCAGTCTGGGCAAGAAAATGTGCTGTGATGAAGCAAAGTTCAATCCATTCTGTGAAAGCCATATCAATCTATCCCTGAGCACGCTCAGTGGTCTAAACGAAAACTTGCTTTGTTGGGTTCAGAGGAACAATTTAAAGCATCTATTTGTATCTATTTGTTATCACAAAGCATCGTTTCATATTTTGCCCCATTTTATAATCCTGTTTTAAAATGTAGCCCATTTTTTACCAGTGGCAGGTTGTTTATAATCTGTTGTAACTCAGAAATTGCTGAAAGGATTTTTCTCAATTAAATTTTTTTTTATTGAGCAGAGACCAAGCACGAGAAAATTCAGCCCAAAAGGAGAATGTTTAAGAATGTTCTGAGCTTATGAATGAGCCAGAAGGGAGCTGTTTTGCATCATTATCTAATAGTGACTGTTTGTTCTTCACACTGTAGCTATTTATTTGTATTTCTGTAGCACTCAGAGACAAGATTAAGGACCTTTTGGGCTGAATATTGAGAAGAGCTTATCCAAATTGGGAGCTTATTTGAGACTGCTCCTGTTTAATTTGTTCTTGGATTTAATATTTACCTACAGAACTGCCAATTTGTTGTTGTTATAGCTTATATAAGTGTTGTAGTAGTCACTTTTATTTTCTTACCTCTTACCCCATTCCCCAACCCAGGTTTCTGAATGTGGTTGGCCAGCAAGACGTGCACCAAATCTTCAAAACCTTTACAGCATTTGCAAGAACATGCATTTATGGCTAAAGCAAGATCACAAAAAAGTTTGCATTGTACACTGCCTTGTAAGTAGTAGGTCCATCTGAAATTTTTCATCTAGTCCAGCTTTAGGTGACAACAAGGATTGCAGTATCAATCAATTCTTGTGTACGAGTAACATTGATTTTTACCGTCTTAAGCCAATTCTGTAGCAATCTAAATTTATTTATTTATTTTTAAAGAAAAGGAGCCTGTGTGGTAAAATGGTGTAACTTTCACCAATTTGGTGGTCAATAGGTCAAGAAGAAGGAAAGTTAAATACATTCCCTTTTTGCTTCCCAGTACAACATTAGTTAATGCACAGCTCTTACAAGAAAAGCTGGGATCATTAAAAATTCCATGTGTGTTTAGGAATCCAGTTGACCTCTAAGATGGTACCTCCACCAGTGTAGTGTCTCTAAATACCATGCTAGAGGCACTGTTTCAGTACAGACTCAGGAGCGATATCTCATGAGTTAACTCCTGCAATAGTCTGTGGAGCTCTCTCGTCAATGCACGTACATGGTTCAGCCCTGTTTGAGATGTGACATGATGGAAAGCTTGAGTGAGGTATGGCTACAGGCCAGACACTCCACATAGTACTGGCATAAATTCTTCTTCTTTAATAGAAATGAGCAATACCGGCCATATGCAGATCTCAGATTCTTCTTACTAGAAGTTCCTCTGTTTAGAAACCAGAAAAACAAAAGAAGTCTCTGAACTGGTGGTTTTAATTAGAAGATAAAGTGAATTTTCTAAATAACTGCATAAGCCTAAAGTGTCTTTCATTCAGAAGATGTGATCCAGAAGCTAAACAAACTCCAGAGAACTAGCTTGTGTCTAAATGATGATCATAGTTCTGTTGATATTTCCCCATAGAGGTGAAACAGCATGCAAGGAGCAGGAAAAAACAAAATTAAGGATTAACATAGAGGATTTATAATTTTTCTTTACCCATTCAGCGAGGCCTTCGCTGAATGAACCAGTAACACTGTATTTCATAATATAAGCCCAGCTACTTTAGAAGTAAGTAATCTTTATGGGGAGACCTCAAGTAAAGCTTTTTGCCCCACAGAAACTGCATTTAACAGAGAGTCTTCTGGACTTAGAGGGGCTGTGGGATCTCTAATAACACACCCAGTGGCCCTACCATTCCTTCACAATTGGTGCAGAAGCTGCCATTCTAGCCCATAGGATGAAGTCGCTGCCAGGAGGTTGCCCTTCAGCATTATACCCCCTCCCTTACCTGTTTCACCTGCAGTAAAGCTTAATAACTTGGGATTTATGCAGACAAAATGATGGTCATCGTTAATGAATAATCAGGTGTAAAACTCGATGATAAAACTACAGTGATTTCATTTAAATAAGCCTTCCGGTTTAAATAGTTCACCAAATGGCTATATTTGACCTACACTGCTGAAATTCATATTTTGCTGGTGTACATAGTAATTTAAGAAGGTTGTACTCCTACTGTGAAATAATGTAGCCATAATCTGTTAACTTGCTTTGAGGCTGTTGGCGGCGGGGGGGGAATCTTCAGAATTCAGCAGTCTCCGAATTTTTTTTGCATTGGATTATTCTCTTAATGATTGCTCTGATCCAAGCACTAGCTTTGTTACTATATCCTGTCACCACCCTCCCGTCAGAAATGTGGTGGGAGAAATTACTGAAGTCCATGCTTTTCTTTTCCACCTCCCTCTTGTATTGACATTTCTCCTGTTTCCATTCTGTAAATTATCAAGCTTCTGGATAAAGTGCAAAGCTTGGTCATCAGAGACTTGTTTACCAGTTAGCTATTTCTTTCTCTTATGTGGTCTTAATCGTGTTGCATTTCCTGAATGTCCTGCCCTGTCAAAACGAAAATTTTGCTCAAGAATTTTTCTTTAATGTCTCAAACTTCCCTCTGTGTGCCTCTAAATACATGAATAATTACCAAAGATGTATTGCCAGGTAGGAATTGGAGCCGATGTTGACTGCATGGCTTCGCCGGTTATTCCTGTACACCTCAAGACTTGCTGGCGCCATAACAGAAGCCCCTTAGCTTGTCAGCAGGAGTGCCTAAAATGGATCTCCCACTCAGCAGCCAGACTATGTGGTTAAAACTTTAGGGTAGTGATGCTAAGAAAATGAACACTCAGAACTCTGAGATAATATAAAGCTAAAGTTAGTAACTACTCAGTAATAGCATTCAAATGAGCACTTAATTCCTTATTTCCTGCTTAGCTTTTGTGTTTCATCTTTAAAAACATTTAATTTTAATTATTAAAGAAATTTGCTACATTCCCACAACATTAAGGCTTTATTACTTAAACTGTGGTTCAAAAACCAGCCATTATCAACTTAAATTATGCCTAATTTATAACTTGAAATAAAGGATATGAACTTGGCGACTTATGTAGACAGGCATGTTCTTCAGTAATTTTCTTAACATTTTTAACTAGGTTTAATAACTTTAGGTCACAATTTTTTGTAGGATGGAAGAGCAGCATCTGCTGTTGTAGTTTGCTCTTTTTTATGTTTTTGCCGTCTCTTCACTACTGCGGAGGCTGCGGTTTATATGTTCAGTATGAAACGCTGTCCACCTGGCATTTGGCCTTCTCATAAAAGGTACAGTATCAATCTCTTTTCAAAGCATTGTTGAAGCAAATCTACCTATGAGCATGTACTTAAAAAAAAATAATTAGCACACCGATTTGTAGGACGAGGTAGTTGATTTAGGAATTAGCCTGGTAGGATGATAGAACATTTGCAAAACCAAATGAGTCACCTATGCGCTGGGTAAATTTTGAATTCTGCAAGATTTTTAAATGTTATTCATGTGACCCTAGTTACTGAACAAATCAACATGATGTGTGTTGGAACTACATTAAGAATGAAAGCTGAGGTTGTAAAATGCTTTAAGTGAAAACTGTCCTAAATACTTCTCTACAAAGCAAAGTATAACGTATATCCTCAAATGTGGAAGAGATAAAAAGTAAAGCTTGTTCAGTGTGGACGTAAGTTCCAGCTGTCTGAACACTCTTCAGACTTACAGAATTCAAAAGTATAAGAAGTACTTACTTGAAGTCAGTTCATTGCATATTTAGTGAATAAGAGGATATATACTCCTTTAAAAAGAGTAAATGCATATCTTTTTATGCATTGTAACATCTATTTTGGCAACTAGCATAACTTGAGAGTTTCAGGTGGACTGTATTTAGGTTTTGTAAAAATACTGAAATCTAAGTAACTTCACTAGAGCATCTGCCAATAAATCTTTGCCTTTCAGAATAAAGAGATGTCTGAAAAGGGGGTGTGTGGATTAGCAAACTGCAGAGGAGCAAAGTTGTACACTACAGTTGAGAAATATTTTAATTAGATACGGCTTGGTTAAAATTGGCTAATTTTTTAAAAGCCCTACTACTGAAATAGTCGGTACGTTCTGACAAGGATGAATCCAAGCATGGTCTGGAGGCTAGAATGCTTGTCTGGGATTTGACAGAGCTGGGCGAAATTCTTTGCTCCACCATAGACTTCCTGTGTGACTGTCAACAGCTCATTGTTTCCCTCTGTGCTTCAGTTCCCCATCTGTACAATGGGGATATTAGCACTTCCCCACCTCACAGGGGTGTCGGGAGGAGAAATGCTTTAAAGATTGAGGCACTCAACTACTGTGTTGATGGGGGGCCATATAGGCGCCTAAGTTAGAACAGTATGGGAATTTGTGCATGGAAACCGCTGTAGTAACTCTCCTTTGGCCATGGGTGAAATGTGTTAGACATACACATCTAGATTGTTTTCCCCTTTTCTCTGTTTCATTCTTTCCATGCAAGGTTGACTTTGAAATATATAAAATCAGATTTAAGTTTCCTAATGTGCTGTTAAATATACTCCCTTGCGCTTATGAGTAATGGTGTCATGGAACATTGTGGAATCGAATATTTACAATGACAAGGTAAGTTTCAGATCATGCATTTCCAGGCTGTATTGTTTTTCTGAACGAATACCTCTTGTTTTGACAGGTATATAGAATACATGTGTGACATGATGGCAGAAGAACCCATTATTCCTCACAGCAAGCCAATCCTTATCAAATCAATTATCATGACACCAGTTCCTCTGTTCAGCAAACTGCGAAATGGCTGTAGGCCTTTTTGTGAAGTTTATGTTGGGGATGAAAGAGTGACCACTACCTCACAGGAATATGACAAAATGAAGTAAGTGCAGGTTCCTAAACGTAAGTCTGAACTCTTTCTGGAGCTGTTTTAATACTGAAACGTTGCTCCCTGAAGGGACAGTGCCAGTGCAGTGAATACCCCTCTCATACAAACTCTGCAGTGAAAGGACAGGTCTGTCCTGCCTTTGCTTGGGGGTCATTGAGGGCAGACTTGGTGATACTCTACCCAAGTTCTGTCTGGAAGGCCTAACTCCATCCACAGTCTCAGAGCAGCGGACAGTTAGTATTCAGACGCGCATTTAAACCTGTGGTATTGTGCAGGGGATAGATATAACCAGTGTTAAGGTTGTGCCTAGTGGTTGTGCTTTTGGGAGAGTCTGGAACCTAGGCAGGAAGAGAATTGGTACCAGCAGCATATTATTATAATCGTCTGTTTCAAATCCCAAACTCTGGTGGTAGGGAGGAGCGGAGAAAGATTCCACTGACATTTGAAGGTCAGGCCTGCTTCCAGGAGTTAAAAATCGGGGATAAAAATGGGGTTGCACCTTCTAAACACACTGGATTAGGAGAGCTTCCCAGAGAAATGAAATGGAAAAGTAGTGGAAGACTACAGCTCAGCGATGGTCTTTCAGGAACCCAGCATGTGCAGATGCATCTGTGCTACTAGCGTGATGGTCTGTCATTGTACCCCTGACAACTTTCACATGCCTGCTCAGACCTCACCCGCAGCTCTCTGCAACTATGAAATTGATCCTTTCAAGGGGCAGAGCTACATACTGTTATAGAAGCTGGAAAAGGTGGTTGCTCCTCCTTGAGAGGAGGGCATTGAGTGTGAAGCAAATTTGGGGGATAATCTATCTAACTGAGCAATAAGCTAAGGAGAGCAGTAGGAATGGGCATTAGGAAAACAGTGTCTCACTGCTATGATGCATACAGTAGTGTGGTAACTAGTTGTGTGGTCAGCTCAATAGTGTGGTAACAGCAATCTGATTCCTTGCCACTGTGCAAGATAGGAGACTGGTCTAGATGGGCCTCCTTCTCCTGCGGGGAGAGGGCCAATTCCTAAAAAAGATGTTACTTCCTGAATATCTAAGACCTAGTTCCATAGTAAACAAAAGTTGTGGAATTTCTACCTTGCCTAGAGGGACCTGGAGTAAGCAGACAGAACAGGTAAAAACACATTCATTTCAAAGCAGTTGTTTTTCTTGAAACTTAATGTGAGATGTGCTTTTTCTTCAGGGACTTCAAAACTGAGGATGGTAAAGCCGTAATCCCACTGGGTATAACAGTCCAAGGTGATGTTCTCATTGTGATCTATCATGCCAGGTCGACATTAGGAGGCAGACTCCAAGCCAAGGTAATGACATACTTAATGGAACCTTTACAGGGTTTATTCTTTGCAATGCAGAACAATCCCCATGGTCTCTTTCTGTGTTGTTTGTTAATTGTTTGATTGTTCCCCTTCTGTGCGCTCATCCGTCTTTTGAGAAAAGAGTTTGAGGTGTTCAGGTGGCTAGGAGTTCATCCTTCCCTTTCAATCCTGTCATGACGTGCAGCCTCTGGTCAGCATTCTGACAAGAAGTGTACAGTTAATTGCTCCTTTTGCAGCATTTTCTGGTAAGAAAGCATTTCAACAACTGGTAGTTATCCCCAGTGTCTGATGCCTGGAGCTCCTGCCCCTTACTTCTCTATGCGGTTCTGCCAAAGTTCCTTATTTAGTGGCAAAAAATCAGAACTTTGTGTGTTAGCCAGGAGTCTTCATCTGTTGTTTTTATTTCCCACCAAAAGGAAGGTTGATTACTTTTTTCTGTCTAAAAGTCAAACTGCAGTCTGATACAGGCTCTCTAATCACATCAATTGCCAAGAGTAAATCACTAAAACAGAATCTTAAACAGCTACTTTCTTGCCTGTCTGATTACAGTTGTGTAAAATGTTTGTTTCGAATGCTGCTAAAAACAGAATTATGTTTTCTGACTTATTCTGTGATACAGGATCAGATTGAACTTGTATGGACTATCTGAACTCTCACTGAAACAGAGACCACCATCCTTCCCAGTTCTGGGGAGATTGAATTTTAGATATAAAATGTCACTGTTTGATTCTTCAGGATTCAGAGCACGTAGTAAGTGATTAACTCGAGCTAGAATTGACACTCCTTTTCTTAAGATGAAATGAGGCCACTTGGACTATGATTTTCACAGTGTGCACCTAAAATTACTATCTAAAGCGCACATTTATGAAAAATTAAGCCACTTAAGGACCTAAGTGCAGAGCACGGAGTAGCTCGCATTGAAGTCAGCCTGTTTTATGGATGCTCAACATCTCTAAAAATAGGGATGTTTTCCCCCCACCCCCAACATCTGTTTTGGTGCCTGGCCTCACTGTATTCATGCAGTGTCCAGCCATCTGACAGCTGCATAAACTAGATAGCATGCGTCCTAGCACATTTAACATTCCTTTTCTTTCTCCATCACAAGAGAGCTGGCATATAATATACTTTGCCATGATCAGGTGGGGCACCTTAATAACACACCTCTTTGCTAACTTACGTGATAGTGCTTATATATGTATGTATGTATGTATATACACCTCTACCCCGATATAATGCTGTCCTCGGGAGCCCAAAAATCTTACCGTGTTATAGGTGAAACGGTGTTATATCGAACTTGCTTTGATCCGTTGGAGTGCGCAGCCCCGCCCCCCCCCGGAGCGCAGCTTTATATCCAAATTTGTGTTATATCGGGTCACGTTCTATCAGGGTAGAGGGGTGTGTGTGTGTGTGTCTGTGTGTGTGTGTCTCTCTCTCTCTCTCTCTCTCTCATAGATATAGATATAATCTTTTTTAATATCCAGAACACAGAGACCACCACTGGAATAGGTATTTGGGCCAATAGCAAAGTGGGATTCCAGGAATTTCCACCCCGCACAGATTGGGAGGTCCATCTATTCCAGTGTCCTGCTTCCATCTGTGGTCTGGCTCAGTGCATAGTCTCCTTACTATTCTTCACGCTGCAGGAGGCGACAGAATATTGTTGCTTCATGATTTTTCTTTCAACTAAAAATGCTAACATTTTTCAGGCTATAAAAGCAAAGCTTGCATGTGAAGTCTATCTCAACCCAAATTACTAAAAGTTCTAGCTTTCTCTGCTTTGGTGTAGCCATAGTGAAGTCTGGAGATACAAATGTGAAATATTTATACATTTCAGGATTACTTACCTACAGAATTCAAGGAATTATTGTCACACGGAGGTTCTGAAAACAATTATTTTAGCATGCAAATATAATGGATACAAGCATTTAGTCGTCTATGCAAATACTTTCAGTGCTGGTAGAAGTTAGTTTTTCAGATTTTTTTCACCATTGTATTTCTCTACTACACATTCTTCGCTCAATCTGTAATTCCTTCTTTAGGTTTGCTAGGTTTCCAGAAAATATAGGGAAAAAGTGAGAACTGCCAAAAGCCAAGCAGAGTTGGACCTTGCATCATAGGAAGTTAAAACAAACAGTAAAAGATTCTTTAGCCATGAAAATAAAGAAAGAAGTGAGACTGCGAAGCACAGAGGATGGAGTGGAGATAAAAGATAATTTGCCTCAGTTTTTAATAAGAATGAGGAGCTTGTGAACATTGGCAGGGTGACTAATGGGAATGATGATATGGAAGTAGAAATTACCACATGTGAGTTGGAAGTCTAGCTCAAAGAATTTAATGACCAAGTCAGGGGACCTAGATAATCTCTATCCAAAAATATTAAAGGAACTGCCACATGAAATTGTGATCCCAATAGCAACGATTTTTAATGAATCCTTAAACTCGGGAGTCGTACTCTGACTGGCAAATTGCAAATACGTTTAAGAAATGAAAAGAAAGTGACCAAAGAAACTACAGGCCTGTTAGTTTGACCTCAATTATATGCAAGGTCTTAGAACAAATTTTTAAAGAAAAAGTAGTTAAGGAAATAGAGGTAAATGGTAATTGGGATAAAATACAACATAGTTTTACAAAAGAGAGATCCTGCCAGATCAATCTGATCTTTCTTTGAAAAGATAATTGATTTTCTAAACAAAGCAAATGCATTAATCTTATCTACCTGGATTCCAGTAAGATTTTTTTTTTTATACAGTTCCATATGGGAAATTACTAGCTAAATTGGAGAAGATAGAAATGGATATAAACTGGCCATCAATAAGTTTTAGGCTTGAAATTAGACAAAGGTTTCTAAACGTCAGAGGAGTGAAGTTCTGCAAAAGCCTTTCAAGGAGGGTAGTGGAAGCAAAAAAACCTAACTTGTTTCAAGATTAAGTTTGATAAGTTTATGGAGGGGATGGTATGATGAGGTTGCCTACAGTGGCATATGGCCCTTCTGCGACTGCCATAAGTAAATATCTCCAGCTATCAAAGATGAGACACTGGATGGGAAGGGCTCTGAGTTCCTATAGGAAATTCTTTCCCAGGTGTGCAGCTGGTGGGTCTCACCCAAATGCTCAGGGTCTAACTGATTGCCATATTTGAGGTCAGGAAGGAATTTTTCCCTAGGTCAGATTGGCAGAGAGCCTGGAGGTTTTTTACCTTCCTCTACAACGTGGGACACGGTCGCTTGCTAGTTTGAACTAGATTAAATGGTGGAGTCACTGTAACTTGAAGTCTTTAAATCAAGATCTGAGGATTTAGTAGCTCAGCATAGGTTACGGGACTATTACGTGAGTGGGTGGGTGAGGTTCTGTGACCTGCAATGTGCAAGAGGTCTGACTAGGTGATCATAATGGTCCTTTCTTGCCTTCAAGTCTGAGATCTCTGTATGAATCGGTAGGATTTAACATACTGGATCAGACCATTGCTCCAGCAATTGTTGTATCTTACATGTAGCCTGTGGCTGACATACCATCTATTTGGAAAACTTGCTTTCCATGTGGAATTTTAATTGGACTCTTGCCAGATCAGAAAAATCTTTCTCCTAATTCAACGAAGAAGCCGCTTTAATGACATTTGGTTAAATGTTGGGGGAGGCCGCTATCCAGTCATAAGCAGTTCTTGATGCCTTTTTTAGAAGCTTTTCCCACTTCCTGGTAATTGAACGCTGATATTTGTTGACTATGAAAATTGCTGCCAGTGCATTGAAAGTGGAGAACTAGCCCTGAAGGTTACTATTTGAAACTAGAAATGTCTGTTACTGGCTACAAAATAAGTAGAGCTGATTTCACGTTTTTCAAAAGCCACAGACCAGGATAGCAGTGTCTTACTGGAAGCAGGGTATGTAAGACATTTTGTCCTCTCTTGAACAAAGCCAAGACTTTTAAAAAAATATGTGTGTAAAGTTAGGCTCCTAGATAAGTTGCTTGACTTTCCAAAGTACTGAGCACTTACCCGTTAAGCCTCTTGGACATTGAAATTTTCAATTGCCATGATCTCGCTATTTTAGCTCTTTGTCCTAGTCGAACTCCAAGCCACAACACTGGTATGTGGAGTGACAGCCCCAATAATGGAGTTGGCCTGTTTTGACCTTAATGTGACTTTGCCAATTCTGATCTTCCAAATTGCACTTGGTTATTCTGTAGAACTGGGTTGTCGTGTATGGATTTTGACTGAAATGAAGATGTTACAATAGCAGTTAAAACTAAAAATGAAACCTGTTGCTTTGCCTTAAGTTTATGTACATTAATTTGGTAAATGCTGCTCTTCGTAATCAAGTGCAAACACATCAACAAGAAAGAGGATTATTCGATCTGTACTGTTCACAATACGTTTATTGATAATATCCTTTTTTTTTTTTTAAACTTCCTTTTTGAAGTTCGGAGTCAAGTTTAGATTGAGTTTGATAGTGTTGCAAATATTACAGCAGGTATCTCCAGATAGTGCTTTTATACATCTTCCATGCTCTTTTAATTAGAGTATGAGCAACTCTTGAGTCTCGGGAAGACATGCTGTGTTTTACCTTCATAGTAAACGGCTCTGAGCAAGAAGCAGTGGTGTTTGGAGAGGGAGCATTTTAGGCAGCAGCAGGGGAGTTTGCTCTCTCTTTTGGTCTCGGAGAACTTGGCATTAGCTTTGGGCTGAGATTTCTGAAAGGATGGATTGCCCTGTGTACTTTTTGGCTACCTTTCTTCCAGGACTGATGTATATGTGTAAATAAAGGCAAACTACTTACGTTGGTGTTTGCAGAAGGGAAAATCGTCTTGTCTGTCAGCAGAAGGAAGAGTTGGATAAGTTAGATGGATATCATGAATCAGTTTTAAAAAACCCCTATTATGCTGGCCAGTGTGAGATTGACAGCCAGGATATTGCACAGGAAACAAATAGAAGTCCTTGCATACACATGACATACTGTGTAAACATAAGTACTGAGATGCTGACAAACTTTCACTTGATTAATACATCTAGTTCTCTTTAAGCTGTTCTCCCTCAATGCTGTAAATGGATTCTGTAAGTGTTAGTTATTCTGAAAAGGCTACGGAAAGATCCAGAGTTCTACCCTACAGAATTATGTCTTGTCTTCAGAGGCAGATTAGGGGTTTGTGGGGCCCTGGGCAAGAGCAAGTAAGGGCTTCTCCCCATCCCTTCTGCCTGCAGTCCCTCCCGGCGCTCCTGATGGGGATCGGGGTTGGGGCGCAGGGGCTTCCCCCATCCACCCAGCGCTCCTGATGGGGATTGGGGTTGGAGTGTCGGGGCTTGCCCTGCCCCGCCCGCCTGGCACTCCTGCCGGGTAGCGGGGTTGGGGCGTGGGGGCTTTCCCTGCTCCCCAGCAGGCTAATCTGTCACTGCTTGTCTTGAGTTTGAGCATGCTGTACTAGCTTTTGATGAAGCTTTTCCCAATTTGTACAGGTGTGAGATTAGAATCAGATTCCTTGTGTCTTTATTTCTGATGGTGTTTCTTCAATGATACTACCAACTTACTTGAAAAACTGAAATAAACAAGTCCAAATTCAGCCATCCCAAGAAAAATGCTATATGGAGCTATTGTATATTTAGAGAAGCTGAACTGAAAGAGAATGCCTTCATGAATATCAAAAATACTTTCCTTTTGGTGGAAAGCAAGATACAGAGTCCTTATCTTCTGTTACGCAGAATTATGTAATTATCCTATGTTTTCTCCTCCCCATAGATGGCTTCAATGAAGATGTTCCAGATTCAGTTCCACACAGGTTTTGTGCCCCGGAATGCCACCACAGTGAAATTTGCTAAGTATGTGAATATTTTGCTGAACACAATTTGCAGAAACTTTTTTCAAATTATTTTACTTGCCAGATCAACAGATCCAGGGGGGAGTATGTTTTATTAGTGTGGGGAAATGATAGCTTTCATTTTTAACAAAATGAGTCCTGGCTTTTGATTGACTACACTTCCTTTGACTCAGCATCTCTTGATGAGGGGTTTTCTTGAAATTTCTTCATAATAAATCATCCCTATGAGATTAAACAGGGAAAAAGTAACCAAATCCAATTGGTTTTATGCTTTGCACACCAATTCCGTAGAAGTACTAGTCACTTAACTTGCTGCAGTCCAAGACAGTGAACCTGATGGGCTGATGGAATATTTGCCTTGAAAGATTTTTGATTTGTGATTTTATTACATCGCCATCTTACAGGTATGATCTGGATGCTTGTGACATTCAAGAGAAATATCCTGACTTATTTCAAGTGAATCTGGAAGTGGAGGTGGAGCCCAGAGACAGACCCTGTAGTGAACGAGCGCCATGGGATAACTTGAACATAAAGGGACTGAATCCCAAGATCCTTTTCTCCAGTCGGGAGGAACAACAAGAGATTTTATCGAAATTTGGTAAAGCTTAACTTTGGAGGCATTAGAAACTTTAGCCTGTTTCCTGTCCTTTTAAAGCATTCCAGTTCAGGACTCCTTTTGTTTAGTTTTTAGACATACATTTTTAAACAGACCTTTAAAAGGGAAAACTTAATTCTTGTGAACAGCTGTGCAGTACCCTTGCCTGTTAAGGAATAGGAGTTTTCCTTAATACTAGATTGTAATTAGCTCAGTCTTTTTATCTATATTGGCACTGTTTTCACCTTTTCCCAGAGCTCTGGAGGCCCTATTTGGAGTGACACATCAAACAAAAATATTTGGCAGTTGAGCCCTTCGCCTCCAAAACCTGGGGAGAATTCCCTCCACTTTCGCTGATTAGCTGAGCTTACGCTTTCATCAATGCAGTGGAAAGTATTCTAGCATTCTCCATAAGTGGCCTTTCATACCCATAATTCAAAATATATTGTTATTGAGATGTTTCTTGTGCATAGTCCAGTAGAGTTATGGCTTGTTTCTCTTAAGATGTCCCCTGCATTAGTGAGTGTCTGTTGTTCTTGAAGGGATCTTACTTTTTTAACATTGCATCTTGTCTGTTTAGCCAACTTCCTCGTTCTGGATATATTTTTAGTAATTCTTGCCAGGATTGCTGTACTTAATGTTTGCTTTTTTCTTGGTCTCATTAGTTTTCATGTTCCACTCCTTCATCCTTTCTTTAATGTTCTCTAACATGGCTGTATTTAGAGAATAAATAAGACCTCACTTCTTGTCTTTCTGCTTCTTTTATCTTTTTTAACTCAGTGTATTTGCTTTTTTCTTCACTTTTCTCTTGATCCAACATAGTCACTTGTCCCCTTTTCATATGTTTTTAGGAAAGTATATATCTGCCAGGCTTGCATTTTGCATTAAGCCTTGTTGTTGTTTCCTGAACATAAATCTCCCTTTTATATTGTATTCTAGTTAGGACACTCAACTAAATCATTTTGCGAACAACATTTTTTGTTTTACATTAATCTAAGGTGTTGGTATTGAAAGTGGGAGAATTTTTTTAAAAATCACTTCGTTACTATGCTCCTTTTACTTTCTGAATTTGCCTCCTCTTGAGAAAAAGAAAATCCTGCAAGTTGATTTAATTTAGATTCTTAGCCCTGAAATGTTTGGGTTTGAAAAACTGGAGGTGAAAATATATTTTTTTAATTGAAATTTAAGATTAAAAATGTTGTTTTTTCTTAGATCTTCATAAATTTGTGTTCACAAAACTTAAACTTGGGACCAAAGCTGAGTTGGCAGGACCCTTTTAATGTTTAGCATATCCCATACTGTATTTTTTGTGAATCTTTTGGTTTTTAAACAAAGATGGTATTGCAGCAGTCCAGTAAGTCAGTCACTACACTGTTGGCATTAGGGTATGTCAACACTTGAGCTGGAAGCATAATTGTCGTTTTGGGTAGGCCTATGCACACTAGTTTTGAGCTAGCGCACTAAAAATAAGAACGTAGTTAGGGTGGGGCGGGCTAGCTGCTCTGAGTACATGCTTAGGGTCCTCGGCAGGATGGTACTGGGGTGGCTAGCCTGTCCCGCTGCTACAGCTATACTTCTGTTTTTAGCATGGTTGCTCAATCAGACTGAGCTGAAAACTACACCTCCATCTTGTGTAGATGCACCCTTAGAGACTGCCATGTACAGAGCAGATGTGGGGTGTTCACCAAGTTAAATACTTTGTTCTGTGTTTGATAATTCAACTTACTTCCATGTATGCACCCCATTCTTTCCAAAATGAAGTAATTTCCATGCTAAAACTCTCGCCGGTTAGGTGTCCACTCTTTGATTTGGCATGGAGCTCTTGTTCTTGTGTGAGACTACAGAGCCATTGATAAGGCAATCTTCCCTAGCTTCTGACAATATCCCTCCAGCTCAGCACCTGACATTGAAGTAAGGAAAATGACCAATTCCTGCATGAGCAGGGTGCTGTCACTCACCTGCTTCCAAGTTGAGGTTGACAGCTTTGTATCCTAGATCAGTGGTACGCTGTTGTTGCCTTACACTTTAAGTACTTTCTATGAGTTTCATTGAACCTGTTCTTTTTGTTTTTTTTGTGGGAGAAGGGAAACGGAGCCATCTTTCTGTGTCCTGTTTTGAAATGGCTGTGATTTGTTCACAGCCCTCCTGTCCACCTTGGTCTATTTTGTAATATCTTCAGAGTGTTACTGGTATGCAGTAAAGAACCAGAAATGGATGGCAACTGACTTGAGTAGAGTCACATCAGTTTAAATATAGGACACAAAACTCTACTAGAATATTAAGTCTGATACCTTAATTTAATTTCACAGCTGTTACATGTGTGGCTGAAACCAGGGTTAAAACTCCATCCTAAATTCACAGCTGTATGGGCTTTTTCCTACACGGAGACTAGCAGCTTGCTCATGAGATCCAACCAAGAGTTATTTCCTGACTGCCACCTTGATATGTTTTTGAGTAAGATACCACGTGCTGCATGCTAGGATTGACACAATCTGAATTTTTCCAATGTCAGAACTGTAGGTCTAAGGTTTTTGGCTTGAAATTCCATCTGACAGGTAAACCTGAGCTGCCTAGACAGCCGGGTTCAACAGCACAGTACGAAGCAGAAGAGTCCAAATCCGAACAGTCTCCCGAAAGCGCACCCACAGAGCCGGACTCTCCACAGAGCAGCAGCACTGATGCAAATAACTTCTTCCATACTCTGGACTGGGAAGGTAGGTGAAGTTGCTAATTATTTACCAAAAGGACTAATCTCTTGTGCAATACTTCAAGTGTCTGACCCCCCCCACACCCCTGCAAGGATTGCTCCAGCGTTGGCACATTATAGACTCATAGACTCTAAGGTCAGAAGGGACCATTATGATCATCTAGTCTGACCTCCCGCATGATGCGGGCCTCAAAAGCTGACCCACCCACTCCTGGAAGAATTCTCTCCCTTGACTCCGCTGTTGAAGACCCCAAATCATGATTTAAAGACTTCAAATCACTGAGAATCCTCCAGCCAGCGACCTCTGCCCCATGCTGTGGAAGAAGGCGAAAAACCTCCAATCTACCCTGCCAATCTACCCTGGAGGAAAATTCCTTCCCGACCCCAAATATGGCGATCAGCTGAACCCCGAGCATGCGGGCAAGATTCTCTAGCCAGACCCTCTGGAAAAAATTCTCTGTAGTAACTTTTAATATCCCATCATTGACCATTGTTGCTAATTACCAGCGATGGCACGTTATTGACCTATTGACTAAAATCACTTTATCCCATCAAACCATCCCCTCCATAAACTTATCAAGCTTAATCTTAAAGCCAGAGAGGTCTTTTGCCCCCACTGTTTCCCTCGGAAGGCTGGTCCAAAACTTCACATACATAGTGGAAGCAAAGGGACAGATCATGATTGTTTCAGTTTTGTGTGTTGCCTCATCAGAGGGCAAGTAAAAACCATTTTAAAAAGAGTGAGCTTTTCAGGTCTGCGAATGTTGCTGTCCAGCTTCATTTGGGATCTCCAAATCCGCATAAAGTAAAGGTAATAGGCATGCACTGCTGCTCACAAATCAAACTGAGGCAGGGCTGTATCCTCCCCTTTCCTTTGTGGATGCTGGCTGCAAAGCAAGCAGGTGGAGTGGCCAAGAAATTCTGTCTTGGGCTGAACTGAGTAGGTCTGGACTGAAAACATGGCCTGCCTGCTCTGGTGTTTTCCGAGAGCCCTGTGTCTCCACGCTGTTCCTGGCTTTCCCCAGCACTTGACAGCAAAATTGCTGGGATGTCATTGGTGACAGCGTTACTACTGATTTTAGAGCAGCAGTATAATACAAAGCCTTTAAACCATAATTTACTCAGTGTCCCAAAGGGGAGTGTCAGACTGAAGGCTCTTCCCCAGTGTCTCACTCCTGTCCTCAACTCAGATCATATCTCCTTGTCCAGCACAAAGGGTTTGCTTTAATTGTGCAGTGTTAATAGTTGCACATGTTGAGCGGTGGAGGAATATACTACTTAGTCACATTTCCGGTCCATGTGCTCTTGGCAGTCAGAGCCATTCTGCTCCCTTGGCTTCCCCTATGGGAAGGGGGGTATTTACCTCTGAGGATGGAAGGACACGAGGGGGAGGGGATGGGGATGGGGGGGGGGGGTGGCATTTGTAGCTAGTGCTCAGTAGCAACAGTCGTGGCCTCTAGTGACTGGAGGATAAACCTGCAGGAAAACAAGCTTCTCTTCTCCCCCCGCCCTTCCTTTTCTGAGCAGGGCAAGCTAGTGGCACTTCACTCCTCTGTCCCTGCCCCCTGAGCCTTCTTGTGCAAGGAACTTTAAGTTCAGACCCTGGCACTTGAACCTGGTTTCTCCTTGTTGAGCAGGAGAATTCTCTTAACTTAAGTGTTATAAAAAGGTAAATCTGTTTTTATTCATTCAATAGAAGGAAAAGATCCAGAGTCTGAAGCAGAGGACCGCTTGTCCAAAGATAATCATCCTGGACTGATTGATGACAGGGATGAAAGTGACCCATCAGATGAAGAATTTGCTGCATTTCCTAGTGAAGGAAGAACAGAAATAGTTGAAGAAAAAGAAAAACCCAGTCCTCCAGAAGAAGATGCAGATATATTCTTTGAAGCTAATTTTGAAACACCATCTGCCCAACCACAAGAACCTCAGTTGGAAGACCACGTAGATTTATTGGGACTAGACTCTGATGTTCCATCAGAGCAGAATCAAACTGCCTCAGATATGAAGAGCTCCTCTAGCAACGCAGACTTACTGAACAATTTGTTTGTGGGTAGCACATCGCAGGTTTCAGAAGGGTCTACTGGGGACCTTCTAGGAGAAGGGGCAGACTTCTTTTTCAGCAGTCAACCTCAGCCTTCAGCTAGTAACCAGAGTACATCTCCACCCACAACATTGTCTTCTGCTGGTATGTAACTCAATTCTCTCTACTTCGGAATTGTGATATAGTGTGAATAACTGAATGAGGTAATAATTATTAGCTGCTTTACTATTTTTCTGTTTGTACACTAGGTTAGTACCATGTTTTGATCTATATCTAAAAGATCTGTTGCAGTCTGTCATCAGAATCTCCGAAAGGGGCACATAATACTTAGACCAAGTACATAGTGAAAGGTCTGTTTCTTATGACAGAATAATTGCTTCATAACACTTAGCAGCTTTTCACATGGTTCAAGTTTACAACCTTCATGGAAAAAGCCACCTTTACTCAAAATATGACATTGCCGTGTTGCATTTTTTCCTGTTTTCATGACTTTGAAGTACAGTTTCATCTGAGTTTTACACAAATTCATCTCACTTTGTTTAAAAAAAAAATCGATACAAAAGCAAAACCTTGTGCTGTTCTGCTTGCAAAAGTGTTGATTTGTTTTATGTTCCTCTCTGGACCCAAGTACATAGAACTTACATTGCCAAGACATGAAAGGATGATTACCCATTTCTTCCTCCCGTTTTCCAGAGGTTGATAGCAGCTTTGAGTGAAAGACGACAACTCGATCATTACTGAGTCTTGCACTTGTATACAGTCATTTATCCCTGTCAAAAGACAGGAGCTCCAAGAAGTGTTACTAACACATCATTAAGGAACTACTGGATGTTACTGGTCTGAGTCTTTGACAGTGTGTGGACAGGACTGGGCCAGTGGTAGGTCTTGATCCTCACGTAATTCAGCATCCGCACCCTCATAAGACTAAAGTGCAAGGAGAATATACAATTAAGCAAAACGTTGCCAACTGCCTGATCTTCAGAACACAAATTATTTTGATTTATGTAATAGAAGTCCCGCTTTCCTTTATTAAGAGGGCTAAAAGGACTAGGATCCATCAGTTTTATTCCTGATTTAGAACTAGTCTTAATTCTAGAGTGCAGAATTCCTTCAAGCTTAATGTAGTATTAAATGTTCCTTCAACCCAATTTTTTTGCCAGTTTCATCACTGTAAATGTCATTCTAAAATATCCCTGTTACAATGACATCATTTTCTTTGGGAATTGGTTAAGGGATCTGACGTAAATGCACAAAAATCATCAGATTTGGACAGAAGGCTAGAATGACATGCTACATTACTGCATTCTAGATAACTTATATGATCCCTGAAATATTTATTTCCTGCTTCATTATTGCTGAGTTGTTTGAATAAATAAAATTATTTAGGTTTAGCATTTTCTCTCATTGGCAGGAGTCCATAAAAATATAATCAGTGTAGTTTATCCTTTGACTATGCGCTCCTTGTTCGATAACTTAGCCATGGGGAAAGCACTGAGAAATGCACCTCAACCTATTGTTACATTATATAAAGAAAGTAACCGTCATATAGTAGTTTTGTTGAATTACAGGAATGAGTATATCTGGTGCTTCTACTGTTTTTTTCAACTTGCATATTACCTTCTTAAGTCAGATCAATGTCTGAGATTCTGTACCTGCATGCTGAAGCAAAAGGCAGGCTGTATATGCATGAGATTCAGTGTTCAGGATAACATGCTTTACAGCATCATATGCAATATAATCATGTTATCTAAAGGCACATCAGGACCGGATTATCACTCCTGGATTCTAGTTTTTGGAGTGAGACTGGTAGAAGTCCCTTAGTTCTTGAAGTTCATTCACCCTTGAGGGCAACTGGTACAGGGCAGAGCTTGAGCCAAGCCTCTTGCTGGCCATCACATGCCATCCCCTGCTGGGTATAAATACTGTTCCAGTTAGTTCTCTCCCTGCCAGTGGTCACTGAAGTAGCTCCCTCCTGGACACTGTGCTGCTGCCTTCTCCAGCTCGTGTGTCAGCACGATGAACATGAATCACCTTTAGTCATGCCTTCCTTGTACTGTGGCTGTTCTGTTTTGTTTTTGCTAGTTTAACAACCCACTTTGGTTACAATTTATCTGGGGCTCTGGGATTCCTATCTTGTTGCTGACTTCTTTTTAGATCTCCCTACTAATGTGACTTTTTGGATAAATGTGGGCTGATCTGAAATGAATGACTCAAGATTGAGGGAATGGCTTGTGTAGAGAAAACTAGCGTTGTGGCTGAATTTTTATACAGTGTCAGTAAGGATTTCCGTTGGAAGGGATAATTGTTTTCCCTGACTGTGATTGGCTGAAATGCTCTGCTTGTCTAATAGCATGTAAGTACTAATGTCTGGAGGCAGGGACCGATCGTTGTCTCCTGCCGGAAAGAAGAGAAATTTCAAAAGCCTTCGTCAGTTGACACCCATGACCTCACCTTATTGCCCCTGCCCAAGAGGGTGTAAGTAAGTTTTTCCTGTGATTTTATTTGCAGTAACACCTGCCCTCAAGATAATTTTGTTTTCTGCCTCTTTCTTTAGCTGATCCATTTGACCCATTCACAATGTCATCAGGATCTGAGAAGCCGACTTTGTCTGGTTCTGATCTCTTTGGAGCCTTTCTTAATCCAAATGCAACATCTACATCTAGTATATTTCCTTCCACACACAGCGCACCACCTCCTTCTTCCAGCTCAGACTTCTTACGTTTAGGTAAGTGTGCTTTTGGCATGATTTTTTGGTAAGGGTTTCTGTGGCTTTCCCTGGGTTTAGTTCTTTACTCTCTCAGTTTAGTCAAGGTTGATTAGCGTCTAACAGATCCTCTTGTTGTGGCTGCTATTTTAATAAGCTCCATGTTCCCTGTGCACAGATGAACATGTCCATCTGGTAGTATTTCCTGTATAGTGTTACTGTAGTAAGTCTTGGTACAATTATTTTGCTAAGATTGCTAATCTTTTGCTAATCCTGTGTTTAATTTTCTTCTGGAAGATGACAGTGTAGAACTGAGGTTACACAGAGTGTTGTGTTTTCAATCTCATTAAATTACCTAGATTACTAAATGTAAATGTGATTTACATGCTTAGGTTTGAATTAGGTTCTTAAGGTCTTGGAAAGGGAGAGTAGAGGAATACAAGTGATTCTGGAATAGGATCTGATAAAAGAATGTTGTTTCCTTAAACATTTCAGAACTGAGGCTAGTTGGAACTACTTGTACTGAAGTAATTTTGTTAAAATATATTTATAGGCTACATTATATAATACTTGGAGCTAATCTAATTTGTTTCAATGGTTTCTTCCGGCTACCATAGGCAAAATCCTTTTCTCCATGTGCTTCCTTTTAACACTATATCCAAGTTAGTTATAATAATTACATAAAATGATTAATTTTCCATAAATGCCGATAGAACTAGTAATACAAACTGTCACTCAATAGCAACTCACCTATATACTCATCAAAAGCAAATTTCAGTTTTCCAGTACTGTGTATGTAAAGTAACTCAACAGCATTTAAAGATTAAATCATCCATTTAGATTTGTCAGTTAACTCAGATACTATCCAATGAAGTTGTAGACTACATGGTTGCTTTACTAAACAGAAACAAGTTAAGTTACTTGATTTGGACTGTAAAAATTTAAAAATATATATCCCTGTTAATTAAAAACGGAAGGTACAAGAATTCTGTGTCACCCTTTAAATTCTCAGTTTCTCATAAAGCTAAAATTAATCTGTGGATTTTTCAATTTAATTTTTTTTAATATTCAGTGAGATGTGATTCAGAAGTATAACTGTCATGCAGTAAATTTGCCATAATAGTTACACCTTCAGATTTTAATTTAATTGTAAAATCTGAAATCTGTGTTAGAAACATGTCTGAATTACGGAGCAAATAAAAAATACAGCACCGTCCATATCGGTATATGAACATCTTTCTGTGAAGGTAGTCGCTGGATAGGGCACTGGCCTGCCATTCAGAAAAACTTAGTTCTATTCTGGGTGTGGTGTTGATCTTCTGTAAAAACTTCACAACCCCTCTCTTTGGGTTTCTGTAGCTGTAAAACGAGGATAATGAAGCTTAGCCCCCCTTGTAAAAGAGACAGATCTCAGAGTTTTGTAAATACGAGAAATATCTGTGCACATACTTTTAATCATAATGGGCAAAAGTAAAGTGCGCTCAAGTTGTACTTCCTACCTAGAACAAACCAATGCTATGCCCCATGTCCCTGATGAATCGCCCAAGGAATAATGAAAGACCCTGGCATAAGGATACTCTTCTAAAACTCCACTTAGTGGAAATTTCAGAGATGCTAATTCCCTAAAGGGGCTCGTCCTCTTAGAGTTGTGGGAACAGTCTGCATCTTTTTTAAATAAAGGGCTAATGATGTCAGGTAAATGGGAGATTGGGGAGTGGCCTATCTAGAAGGCGAAGCAAATGAATGAAGAAGACTATAGGTCGTGGGCTTAGGTCACTCTCTCCTGGGGATGGGAGCGGATGTTAAGGGAGCACAGATGGCTACCACTTGCTGTGGCTCCTTAAAATATTTCTTGAAGTCTAATGTGGACCCATCAAGTTGTGTAAATGGTTAGTCTTTAACCACATGATAAAACTGTTCGTTTGTCTTCACTCCCTGTCCCCTTTTGTTATTCACTTATTGCCTCTTGTCCCCAGGTTGTAAGCAGTTTGAGGCAAAGTGCAGGTCTCACTTTACTTTCGTACAGCGCTAAACAGAGCCGGGCCCTGGTGGTGATTATGAGATTACTGTAATGTGAATACTAGACTGTATTCAAAAGCTTGTGAAGGTGAAATACCCACTCATATAATTTAACAATGTCAAAACAGGAGCTCAGTGGGAAGGGACCCATTTAGAGTCAGGTTATAGGTGCCATGGCATTTCAGGGGCACAGTTCTCCATTTTCTTAAGTTGGGTAGTTCTTGCTGTCTCAGGAAGAGATCCTGCTAGATGGTTAACGTGACAAATAGCATTGCGTGCACCTCGCCTGAGGGAAGGGCCAATTTTGCTAAAACCTTGAAGTTCCCTGTGGAAGAGAGGTAGTTCTGCACACCAAGACAGAGGCCAGA